GCAATGCCTTATAAAGACTTTTGAAATTGCCACCCTGTAGATCAAGACCACCCCCAGAAACATCATACATACATCACAGAAGGGGTCTAACCTAAGACCACCCCTCAGATACATCATACCTACATCACACAAAAAGGTGGTCTAAACAGAAATTTGAATGTTGTTTTTCTCCTGTCCTTGTTTATCTCCTGTCTGGCAGGTTACTTGATTGGATTACCTGGGGAGCCTGACCATTCTTTTGTAGTGATAAATACTTAGTTCCTGGGCCAGGTCACAGGCTCACACCCTATTCATATCTTAAATGTGCCCTTAAGACAGGATTTGTGAAGGAAATGACAATGGGGAGGCTTTTCCATTTTCCTCTGACCTTGCAGAGAGAACATTTGCTCAGTTTGGGAATCAAAATGGTTCCAGGTCGGTCTTCCTGTGCTGATCTATGTACGTGCTTGGTTGGTACACTTATGAACATTTAACATATATCTAAGACCTCAAAATTCCTATCACACCTGGCACCAACTTCTGAAATGCCAGAAGCCTAGGAAGTGCTTGCCCAGCTTTGGAAAGGAGGGAAGGGCTTTAGGACCCTGCCAGAGTCCTGCAGCCTCCTCCTCCGAGTCAGCTCCTGGCTTAGTTACAGTAGAGGACAGGGGTAGGCAAACCAAGGCCCGGGGGCTGGATGCAGCCCAATCCCCTTCTCAATCCAGCCCATGGACGGTCCGGGAATCAGTGTGTTTACACATGAGTAGAATGTGTCCTTTTATTTAAAATGCATCTCTGGGTTATTTGTGGGGCATAGGAATTCGTTCATTGCCCCCCCCCAAAAAATATAGTCCAGCCCCCCATAAGGTCTGAGGGGAGGTGCACCGGCCCATGGCTGGAAAAGGTTGCGGACCCCTGGTATAGGATCTAGGATCTGGCAGTTTTCCTGCACAGGGTGCCATCAAACTCTGTCTATTTCGTCTGGCTTTGGGAGTGCTGTGCTAGGGGTCAGGGGGTGAGATTGGCAATTTTCCTGCTCAGGGTGTTGAGGTGAGGTGATGCAAAATTGAGACAGTCCACTTGGGGGGTGCCAAGGATCACAAAGATGGGAGAGTTGCTGAGTTGCCACAAAATTGAGAAGACCCATAACTGAGAAGATCTACTTGGGGGCAACAAGTTATGGAAGATTGCAAAGTCTGCCCATTTTGTCTGGCTTTGGAAAGCTGTCAGAGCCATGGCACACAGGTCTCCGTTTTATGGAAAATTACAAAGTGATGCTGTCAGAACACTGGCAGAAGCCTAGGAAGTGCTTGGCTAGCTTTGAGAAGGAACAAGGGGTTTTGGGACCCTGCCAGAGCTCTGCAGCCTCTTTCCCAGAGCCGGACAGCAGTGTGAAGTAGAGGTGTGAAGTAGGGGCCTTAGTCAGGTCAATAAACACCATAAACAGGGGTTGGTTTCACTCTCTACCTTTTTATTGAAGCTGTCTAGCAGTGAAAATCATGTCCACTGTCCCCCTAGAACAGTGATGGCAAAAGTTGACCCTCCAGCTGTTTTGGGACTACAACTCCCATCATCCCTAGCTAACAGGACCAGTGGTCAGGGATGATGGGAATTGCAGTCCCAAAACAGCTGGAGAACCAAGTTTGGCCATCACTGCCCTAGAAGGTCGAAATTGGCCTCTACAGTCACTTATAGACTCACTGTTCATAGAAGACAATCTTACTCAGCTCCGAGTGATCACCAAAGAAGAAAAAGTAGCAGAGGTGCCAACTTGAATAAAATAGGGGGGCAAGTAAGCCCCGAACTGCATAATCGATCACATGATGTGGTTCACAGACAGTTTGAATCGCAATGCCCATCAAATTTGGGGGGAACGGTCACCTCAAATATTTTATTGGGTGATCTGAAGGCCCCTCAGCAAGGCCCCTGGCTCTGGAAAGGAGGCTCCAGGGCTCTGGCAGGGTCCTACAGCCTTTCCCTTCTTCCCAAAGTTGGGTGCCAATAATTGCCTCCCCTAAGTGGAACCGCCCCCAACCGAACTGTCTATTTTGTGCCAGCTTGCCTCAACACCCTGTGTCGATCTCCTCTCCACCTGGTTCAGGGTCCAAGAGTCCTTCTCTCCACTTCCTAGGCATCCCAAAGCCCTTGCACTGCTCTCTCAATGCCATACAAAATGGAAGGGCTTCGGTAATCTTTAATAAAATTGTGCCCTATGCAAGGCCAATATTTGATGCCCTTGAATGGATCTTCTCGGTTATGGATCCTCTTGGAGCCCTGTGTGGGAAAATTGCAGATGTCCCGCACTGCGGCAAGCAAGGCGCCTGGCTCCAGGTAGGAGGTTCCAGGACTCTGTCAGGGTCCTAAAGTCCTTCCCTCCTTCCCAAAGCCCGGTGCAAGACCAATATTTGGCGCCCCCAAGTGGATTCTCACAGTTATGGGTCTTCTCAATTTTGTGAACCTCAGCACCACTTCTGGCTTGAGGGAGGCAGTGCCAAGGCTCTGGCAGCGTCCCAGAGCCCTTGTGCCATCCTCCCAAGGCCAAACAAAATGGACGGGCCTTTGTAATCTTCCATAAAATGGCGTCCTGTGGAGGCCAATCTTTGGCGCCCCGGCTTTGGGAAGGTGGTGCCAGGGCTCTGACAGCATCCCAGAGCCCTTGCGCTGTCCTCCCAAGGCCAAACAAAATGGACGGGCCTTTGTAATCTTCCATAAAATGGCGTCTTGTGGAGGCCAATCTTTGGCGCCCTGGCTTTGGGAAGGTGGTGCCAGGGCTCTGACAGCATCCCAGAGCCCTTGCGCGGTCCTCCCAAGGCCAAACAAAATGGAAGGGCCTTTGTAATCTTCCATAAAATGGCGTCCTGTGGAGGCCAATCTTTGGCACCCCGGCTTTGGGAAGGTGGTGCCAGGGCTCTGACAGCATCCCAGAGCCCTTGCGCTGTCCTCCCAAGGCCAAATAAAATGGAAGGGCCTTTGTAATCTTCCATAGAATGGCACCCTGTGGAGGCCAATATTTGGCGCTCCCAAGTGGATCCTCACAGTTATGGATCTTCTCAATTTTGCAGTACCTCAGGCCACTTCCGGCTTTGGGAAGGTGGTGCCAGGGCTCTGGCAGCATCCCAGAGCCCTTACACCGTCCTCCCAAGGCCAAACAAAATGGATGGGCCTTTGTTTTTCCCCATAAAATGGCGCCTGTGCGAGGCCAATATTTAGCGCCCCCAAGTGGACGCCTCGATTTTGTGCCACCTTGCCTCAGCACCCTGTAAAGCACCTGGCTCAAGGTCCAAGAGTCCTTACTGCCACTTCCTGGGCATCCAGCTTTGGGAAGACAATGCAAGGGCTCTGGGGTATCCCTCAGCCCTTGCACCGCCCTACCAATACCAGGCACAATGAAGGCACTTTGGTAATCTTTAATAAAATTGTGCCCTATGTGAAGCCAATATTTGATGCCCCTGAATGGTCATAGATCTTCTCAGAGTCATGTGCAGAAAAACTGCAGATCTCCCACACTGTGGCAAGCAAGGTGCCTGGCATAGGGTAGGAGGCTCCAGGGCTCTGGTAGGGTCCTAAAGCCCTTCTCTCCTTCCCAAAGCCAGGTGTGAGGACAATATTTGCTGCCCCCAAGTGGATCTTCTCAATTTTGCACCACCTAATCTCAGCACCCTCTGCACAGAAACTACCAATCTTCTGAACTGCAGCTAAGCAAGCCCCCTGGCTCTGTGAAGAAGGCTTCAGGGCATTGGCAGGTCCCAGAGCCCTTCCATTGTTCTCAAAGGTGGGCAAGCGCTTACCAAGCTTTGGGAAGAAGACCCTGAAATGTATCTTTGCAGAGCAAGGGCAGTTTTCCTGCGCAGGGTGCCCAGCCAAGGTAAAGCCAAAAGCAGTGCTGAGCTGCCACAAAATCTAGAAGACCCACATGGAGGTGGTAAGTTATGGAAGATTGTAAAGTCTGTCCACTTTGTCTGTGTTTAGGAGGGATGCTGCCACAGTCCTGCTACTGCCTTCCCAAAGCTGGAAGCCTAGGAAGCCCTTTCCCAGCTTTATGGAGGGAAGGGCTCTAGGACTCTACTAGAGCCCTGGAGTCTCCTTCCCAGACCCAGGTGCTTTGTTCAGTGTAGTGCTGGATCTGGGATCCCGCAGTTTTTCTTAATAGGGTGCCAAGCTGAGGTGGCACAAAATTGAGAAGTTCCATTGCCAATAATAACCACTTGGTGGCGCTATAGGTACTGTACAGTTGAACTACTATGCTTAATTTTGTTTCTTCTAAAGATAGTTCCTGAGAAACGAAGTTGCCCTTTAGCTATGGATTTTTAAGGGCTTCTGTTTTGCTAACTTCAGGAGAGCCATCCCCTTATCACACTTCAACGACAAGACATCCGCTAAGGAGTAACCCTACCATAGGCACCTCAACTGCTGCAGCCAAGCTGGTGCCAAACCTATTGCTCTGCTTTCCTTTGGACCACATCAGCGAGGCCCAGAGGAGGGTCTTGTAAGCCCAGGACTTCCATACACACTGCCAGACCTGCACCCCAGAGAGGTCACTTTGGTGCTGCAAATGCAGCATAAACATCATAAATGGTGGGTCTTGTACATATCCCTTTGCCTCAGCCTTATCAGCCACCTGCTAGCTAGAGTTACAAGGACAGAAGCAGTGGGAGGGGGTGTGCATGCATTTCACTCTGCTATTTTGCTGCAAGTGTATTGTGTCTCCTAAGGACGGACGGAAGGCTCTGGGACCCTGCGTCTGAGCTTCCTTCCCAGAGCCAGGCGCCTTGCTTAGCCGCAGTGCGGGATTTGGAGCACTGGAAGAGTGAGTTAAAGTAAATCAAAATAAGATTTAAAAATAAAAATAAAACAGACACATGAAAAACATTTTAAAAGGCAGAGGAAAACAACAATAACAAAACAACAAAAATGCAATTAAGGTTACAGAACTATATAGCATATATGTAAATTGATTAAATTTATCAAGATTCAGGTAGGTAGCTGTGTTGCTCTGACGCAGCTGGGGTGGAAATAAAAATTGTCCAGTAGCACCTTAGAGACCAACTAAGTTTGCTCTGGCTATAAGCTTTGTGCATGCACATTAAACCTTATACCCAGACCAAACTTAGTTGGTTTCTAAGGTGCTACTGGATAATTTTTTAATATTTTTTTATTTGTTTCCCTCAAGTATATGTTTGTTCATAGCTTACTATGGTTTTGGTAAATACATTCCAAATATAATTAAATTTGTCCATGCATTATCTTCGTCTGGGTTGCAAGAGTTGTCATGACATCTATCCACAGAGGTCATATTTTTGTCCTTCCAACGTATTAATATCAATCGTTTGGCAGATGTAAGAGAATCTATTTACATTGACCAATTTCAAGCCCCATATATTAGGTATATAGTTTAAGATTATGTTATCTTCTGAAATTTTTAATTTATTCCCTACAATAGTATTTATGCATTCCAATAGTCCCGCCCCCAATTTGCAAACACCTAACACTGTATAAACATAGGTTTCAAACAAGCATTTTATTGCATCTCCAATGTTTATGCAGTCGTAATGTAATCCAATAAACTTGAAATAAAATCTTTTGTTGTATGAAACTCAAGTTTATAATCTAATGACCTTAGACATGGAGGCTAAAACATTATCCCATTGTTTAACTAAGATGGGGCTTGCTAATTCTTTCTTTCTTTCATTTCTCAAAGTCTGTGCGTCAAATTGATCATTAGACACTAAATATATACTAAAAGTAGTATCTGGTTTTTTAACCTCTAAGGATGCAATCAAGCATTCAAATAACCTTACGCGATTGCAGCTTTGCACAGGTGGGTCAGCGGCGGCAGAATAAATGAATGGAGAGTGGATCTTCTCTGCTCCCATTTATCATTTATTTATTTACTTCCCACTGCCCTGTCCACATAAAGCTGTGATCCCATAAGTAAAATATGAAGAAGATGATAAGATGTGAGTTACCTGTAGTGGCACTATTGGGACAGGACTTGCAGGGGTTTAAAGTACAGGGTTCAATTGGTGTTGGGTTGAAATCACGACAGACGAATGGTGGGTGTCAAAGGAGAGATGTCTGCCCGGGGCAAGTCCCGGGAACTCTCTTTTATTGAATATTACAAACATTGCCACAGGTGTGCTTGTGGCTGATTGGCTGATACAAACACAAAGCATCTTGTTGCTGATTGGTTAACATAGGTACAAGGCGGGAATAACATATGTCCATTTATCATTGATGGATCAAAGACTGGGAAACAGAGCTGGAACTAGACAGGCATGAAACCTCCTAATTAAATTATAACTAAAGATTGATATTGAAAGAACATAACATGAAGGAATACAACAATCACGTTCTGTAGATGTGGTCAGCAATGCATTAAGGACAGGTCAGGATACACTGTTTCATGAACTCAATGGGAACTGTTCAGAACATTCTCAGACTCTTGTGCAGAGGCAAAAACTTCCCAGAATGTAAGAGAGAAAGAAGCAAGAGTTCTCATAGTAAGCATAGAAAGATTTCATAGTAAGACTTCCCACAATGCCACAGTCATGTGCAGTAAGAGAACTGCAGAAAGAGAACTTCACAGTGAGAGAACTGCAGAAAGAAAACTTCCTTCATCTCCCCTTTCTTTTCTTGTTTGCGAGGCATTCCAGGTGGATAAGGCAGAAATACTTCGGGATTAGTGGTGTGCCAGCGAATGCCCGAAATAAGCCTGCCAGGGTCGATGGGACAAAAGTACTTCAGGATACGTGGTTTGCCAGCGCATGCCCAAAATAAATCCGCCCACATCTCCCCTAAGGTTTACTGTTGGTGTTGCCATTTCGCAATGTAAGCAGCAAGGAGTTTACTGGGTGGTGGAGGGGGGGAGAGAAGCCGAGAGAAAAGACTCATGAGGCTAGGAACGCATTGGAGGAAACAGCATAGTAAAATTAATAAACATATTATAACAATAGCATATTGAAAAGGATTACGAAGCCAAGTAAGGTTTGGCAACCAAGCGGTAAGCCACTGGGTGAAAGAATCCCAGAGGCCAGAAAATCCAACGTCCTGTTTAATGTGATGTGTAAGATTTTGCAAATGAGAGATTTGGCTTTGAATGGCTCTAGAATTGTCAGTAATATTGAAACAGCACATGTCATTCACTTGTTCACAGCCATAATGATGAAGCATCAGCAAGTAATCTATCGCGGCACGGTTCTGTAAAAGGCCATGCTGGAGTTCACTTTGCTCTTTATTCAGAAGGTGAAGGGCTTGAGAAGTATAGTTCAGCGCTTTTGCTGCAGAACAAGCTAGAGAATTAATATTTCTACTATTGCGTACAGCCAATCCAGGAACTCCTAAGAGAGAAACAGCTAAAGAGATATATTCAGACCTACTGAGAAGAGAGACAAAAGCATCACAATCATTAGTCAATTCAATATTGCAGTGATATCGAGAGCGGGATAAATGATGCTTCTTGGGTAAAATGATGTACAAACGGCTTAAACAGCAAGGTGTGCCATGGCTGATGTATTGCTGGAATGTAATTAAACGTATAGCCAGGACACGACCAGAAGATTTCCAGTTGAGGGGAAGTGCAAGCTTACTCATTAAATTGAATGGTAGCTTGTAATTGTTGTAGTAAGTCTCTTCCCCACAGATTGAGATGGATTTTCAGCACACAAGGCTGGATGTAAGCAATGGTTTCAGAGCTATCAGGCAGAGAAACAGGCAGCCACTGTATGCTTTTGGAAGAGGTTTGGGGGCCACCCACACCCCAGACTGCAGAGGCAGACTCAAGGGGCCACGTGGGGTCCCAGCAACTACTAGAAATTACAGAAACGTCTGCGCCTGTGTCAATCAAGCCTTCCAGCACAATACCATTGATTTTATACTTGCGAAGAAGTTTCTTCTCACCAATCCTCTGGACTACAGCTAACAGCTGTGGAGGGAAAGAAGAGAGCTCGTGCAAATTAGTATCCATAATAGAAGCAGTAGGATGAGAAGGGAGCACCACCAAATGCGCCCAAGACTCACCCTTTTTAATTGCATGGGCATATGGCTCCAGAGTTGAACCATTATTGTGCCTACATAGTCAGGATCCAGAACTCCAGGAATAACCTGGATGCCTTCCTTTGCCGCAGAAAATTTGGGTAAAATTAAACCTGCGACTTTAGGAGGCAGGGGACCTGCCAATTGAGTGGGCATAAGCACAATTTCACCAGGTAAAACAGAGTCTTTGGTCTCCTGATTGATCAAATCAATGGCAAATTCAGAAGGTTTAGCCTTAGAGGCAGCACCATCCTTGTTTGCCCCCCCGCCAGGGGCTCTGCAGTGCTTGGCAAAATGGCCTGGGCGCTTGCAATTAAAGCAGTTACCAGTAGGCTTAGTGGTTGCTTGGATTGCGCCGGCAAGCAAGGACATCGCATGGCTCTGGCTACCGACATCCGCACAAGCTTGAATCATATCGGCCAGTTCATATTTAGGGCGATGTATGATTGACTGCAAAGCTTTCTTGCAATCAGTGTTTGCGTTTTCAAAGGCCAATTTTTCATCAATTCATTTTGAGCAGTGGTGTTATCAATCTGCCTAGTGACTGATTCTTTCAATCTATCTATAAACTGATGGTATGGCTCCGAATGCTGTTGCTTAATATTCACAAAGGAGCTCAGCGGTTGCCCAGAAACAGGGACTTTCCGAAAGGCGCGTTGTACACAGGTCGCGGTGCGAACAAAATGTACAGGTGTCAGTGTTGCTTGGGCAGTTATATCAGCAAACTGACCAGCACCATAAAGTTCATTGGCAGTATGTTGAGGATCAGACAGGGCTGAAGCGCTATGTTTAAATTCACTCTCAAACACCACATACTGAGCAGGGGACAAAAGCATGCGCATAAGGTCTTTCCAGTCCTGAGGTAGCATAATGTAACCAGTTGCTATGCCTTCTAGCATCCCTGTCACATAAGAGGATTTCAGACCAGAATCAGCAATGGCTTTCCTTAATTCCCTCATTACAGAATAAGGAAGCGATTCATAATAAATCTGCTGTTGAGCAGTTCCAGGGTTTGAATAGGTGATAGGGAAAGCAGACGGCATTTCACCTGGCCACTCAGACTCCTCCTCTAAGGACAGGAGCCCTTTTTGCCTTGCCAGAGAGAGCGCAGCACGCACAGCTCCTATAGAGCAAGCAGGGGCTGTGGCAGGAGGAGGAGGGATGGGGGGGGAGGAATCAGGCTGAGGCGGAGGGATGGGGGGGGAGGATGCAGGTTGAGGAGGGTGAGACGCAGGGAGGGATTGGCTGGGCTGCAAAGGAGAAGGAGGTAAAAGTTTCGGGTAAGGTGGGGATTGTCTGCAATGGCCAGAAGAGGAGACGCCTGGGGTCCCAATTGGGGCCCTAATTTAGCAACGGCATCAGCACATTTCTGCCAAGTGAGCAGACAATGAATCGGAGCCCTAGGTTCTGCAAAAGGGTCTTTCCGATCTTTTGCCAAGTCTCTACATCCAAAGATCCAGCCTCTGGATAAGAAATGCATTGGCAATTAATCTCACATAGCAATTGTTCAATTTCTTTTAAGGAAATATTAACACCCACCTCCCGCTGTCTAACTAAATAAAGCAACTCTTTAGCATGCTCTTTCTGGAGCTTAGTCAAGTCCCCTCCCATACTCACGAAGTTAGCGCGCTGAGACTTTGCCAGTCGGGTGAAGTATGAGGTTTGGCTGCGTAAGGGATCTGGCACGTCGGGGGTCACCAGATGTTGGGTTGAAATCACGACAGACGAATGGTGGGTGTCAAAGGAGAGATGTCTGCCCGGGGCAAGTCCAGGAACTCTCTTTATTGAATATTACAAACATTGCCACAGGTGTGCTTGTGGCTGATTGGCTGATACAAACACAAAGCATCTTGTTGCTGATTGGTTAACATAGGTACAAGGCGGGAATAACATATGTCCATTTATCATTGATGGATCAAAGACTGGGAAACAGAGCTGGAACTAGACAGGCATGAAACCTCCTAATTAAATTATAACTAAAGATTGATATTGAAAGAACATAACATGAAGGAATACAACAATCACGTTCTGTAGATGTGGTCAGCAATGCATTAAGGACAGGTCAGGATACACTGTTTCATGAACTCAATGGGAACTGTTCAGAACATTCTCAGACTCTTGTGCAGAGGCAAAAACTTCCCAGAATGTAAGAGAGAAAGAAGCAAGAGTTCTCATAGTAAGCATAGAAAGATTTCATAGTAAGACTTCCCACAATGCCACAGTCATGTGCAGTAAGAGAACTGCAGAAAGAGAACTTCACAGTGAGAGAACTGCAGAAAGAAAACTTCCCTTCAAATTGGGACAGCTCTGTCAGTAAAGCATGGGACTCTTAATCTGAGGGTTGTGCCCCACTTTGGGCAAAAGATTCCAGCATTGAAGGGGGTTGGACTATCAGCGGTTCTCAACCTGTGGGTCCCCAGATGTTGATGGACTACAACTCCCATCATCCTTGAGCTCTGGCCTTGCTAGCTAGGGGTGATGGGAGTTGTAATTCACCAACATCTGGGGACCCACAGGTTGAGAAAGGCTGGACTAGATCAACGTTCCCCAAACTAGGGTCCCCACCTGTTTTCGGACTACAACTCCCATCATCCCTACCTAGCAGGACCTGTGGTCAGGGATGGTGGGAACAGTAGTCCAAAAACCGCTGGAGACCCAAGTTTGGGGAACCCTGGACTAGATGATCCACATGGTCCCTTCCAACTCTATGATTCTATGATGGATGGTGACTCATCTACATGTGCTCCAAAGCACATGCCCTCTTCTTCATTTACTATTCTCTTTGGAGAACTGGCCCACAAAAGGAGCTAAGCCCGCACATGAGGCAACTTGCCACAGAGGCAAGAGTGACCGAACCCAAAGGGTGACTGACCGAACCCAAAGGGTGCTCATCAATGGTTCCTCTTCATCCTGGAGAAGAGTGACTAGTGGGGTGCCACAGGGTTCTGTCTTGGGCCCGGTCTTATTCAACATCTTTATCAGCGACTTGGATGATGGACTCAAGGGCATCCTGATCAAATTTGCAGATGACACCAAACTGGGAGGGGTGGCTAACACCCCAGAGGACAGGATCACACTTCAAAACGACCTTGACAGATTAGAGAACTGGGCCAAAACAAACAAGATGAATTTTAACAGGGGAAATGTAAAGTATTGCACTTGGGCAAAAAAAAATGAGAGGCACAAATACAAGATGGGGACACCTGGCTTGAGAGCAGTACATGTGAAAAGGATCTAGGAGTCTTGGTTGACCACAAACTTGACATGAGCCAACAGTGTGACGCGGCAGCTAAAAAGCCAATGCAATTCTGGGCCGCATCAATAGGAGTATAGTATCTAGATCAAGGGAAGTAATAGTGCCACTGTATTCTGCTCTGGTCAGACCTCACCTGGAGTACTGTGTCCAGTTCTGGGCACCACAGTTCAAGAAGGACACTGACAAACTGGAGCATGTCCAGAGGAGGGCAACCAAAATGGTCAAAGGCCTGGAAATGATGCCTTATGAGGAACGGCTAAGGAGCTAGGCATGTTTAGCCTGGAGAAAGAGGAGGTTAAGGGGTGATATGATAGCCATGTTCAAATATATAAAAGGATGTCACATAGAGGAGGGAGAAAGGTTGTTTTCTGCTGCTCCAGAGAAGCGGACACGGAGCAATGGATCCAAACTACAAGAAAGAAGATTCCACCTAACCATTAGGAAGAACTTCCTGACAGTAAGAGCTGTTTGACAGTGGAATTTGCTGCCAAGGAGTGTGGTGGAGTCTCCTTCTTTGGAGGTCTTTAAGCAGAGGCTTGACAACCATATGTCAGGAGTGCTCTGATGGTGTTTCCTGCTTGGCAGGGGGTTGGACTCGATGGCCCTTGTGGTCTCTTCCAACTCTATGATTCTATTATTCTAAGAGCATTCACATCACATATGATTCTGCAGACCTCTGTTTGAATCTTTACTCAGCCATGAAGTACTGTGGGTCAGCGTATGACCACCTCTCCCAAACCAGGCGTATCTCACAAGGATGTTCCGTGGATTAAAAATACCGCAAGTGTTGCCCTGGCGGCAGGGGCAGAGAGATTTAAATACAGATGCAGAATACAGGGAAGTTAACAGAAACTATATAAGAAATACACAAAGGCACAAGGAGAAGGGGACAACAGAGGACGAGATGGTGGGACAGTGTTCTCGAAGCTACCAGCATGAGTTTGACCAAACTGCGGGAGGCAGCAGAAGACAGGAGTGCCTGGTGTGCTCTGGTCCATGGGGTCATGAAGAGTCGGACACGACTAAACGACTAAACAACAACAACAACATATAAGAAATACAGTGGTACCTCAGGTTACATATGCTTCAGGTTACATACGCTTCAGGTTACAGACTCCGCTACCCCAGAAATAGTACCTCGGGTTAAGAACTTTGCTTCAGGATGAGAACAGAAATTGCGCAACGGCAGGAAGCCTCATTAGCTAAAGTGGTGCTTCAGGTTAAGAACAGTTTCAGGTTAAGAATGGACCTCCGGAACAAATTAAGTACTGTATGTAACTGTGCCGTATAAGATAATCAACAGATAAAGCACAGCAAGACTAATTGGAAGTCATTTTTAATTTATTGTTTTACAATCGTTCACATCATTGGGAGTACAAAGGATGTTAGTTATAAGAATTGTGTTGGTTTATATACTGCTACTGTCTGTCAATTTATAGTTTGTTTATTTGATTGTATGTTTGTCTATTGGTTTGTTTGCTTTCCTGGCATAAATGCATCTATGTATTTTAAAACAATAAAGATATGCACATTGTAAACAAAATAATATACATACAGTGGTACCTCGGGTTAAGAACTTAATTCGTTCCGGAGGTCCGTTCTTAACCTGAAACTGTTCTTAACCTGAAGCACCACTTTAGCTAATGGGGCCTCCCGCTGCCGCCGCGCGATTTCTGTTCTCATCCTGAAGCAAAGTTCTTAACCCGAGGTACTATTTCTGGGTTAGCAGAGTCTGTAACCTGAAGCGTCTGTAACCCGAGGTACCACTGTACATACATACATGCATACATACATACAGAAGGCATGCCCAGCATGCCAATAGCGGACTTCCGAGGTCTTCCGGCCTTTGCCGGACTCGAATTCCCGTCAGCCCTAACCATTGGCCGCGCCGGCTGCGGGCTGATGGGAGTTGGAGTCCAACTCAACAACCGTTGGCAACGTCTCCCGGCCTCACCTCGCGCGCGTCCCAAAACAGGACGCAAGCCGCTCCGTTCCCATAGCAACCGACAGGAGGAGGCGTGACTCTTGTGACGCCACGCGCGCCCCCGGCCTGTGCCCAAGAGGGGCCGGCAGGAGTGCGCGCGAGCGCCAAAGAGAGCGCCTGTGGCGGCCGGGCGATCGGGTTGGGGTCACGAGGGCGGCGGCGGGGGTTTGAACCGTCCAATGGGGGAGCGGCGTGCGGCGTGCCGGGGGCGGAGCCGGAAGTCGGCCTGCGCGTCCTGGAGCTGCAGCTGTTCGTCGGCGGCGCCGTGCCGCTGTGGTGGGAGTTCCTGTCCTCGCGCGGCGGCGGCGGCGGCGGCGCCCCAACGGTGCCAAGGTCTCCATGGCAGCACCAGCAGCCTCTGCAGCTACCGCCGCCTCATCCACGGCTTTGAGGACGTCGTGAGGCGGCGGTTGCGAAGCCGCTTAAGAACCCCATGGTGAGCCGCGGGCAGGAGGCTGAGGAAACGGCGGCTGGGAGCGTTGCTTGGGGTGGGGAGTGAGGGCAAGGCGAAGGAGGAGGAGGAAAAGGAACGGTGCAAATCAAGTAAAAACCACCAAGCATCTACCAAAGTGGATTTCAATTGCTGCAGCGATCAGATAAATCATATAAGTGGTTTGCCAAGACCACCTGCAATTTCTAAGTCATCCATTGGAGGGAGGGCAAAGAGTGTGGGAACCACCGCTTCAGCTGTTGTGGGACTTCCAAGACCTATCTTCACTAACCACTGGCCTTGCATATTGTGTCTGATGGGAATTACAGTCCAACCGTATCTGGAAGGGCACACACGTTTGTTGAGGCTGATGGAATTGTAGTCCAAAACATCTAGAGGCTTCAGATTGACAATGGTACATGAGTTAGTTCTCAAGAGATGGGGAGGCTGTGGACTCCCAGCTTTTCAGCATTGGACAGCATGGGCAATAGTTAGTGACTGTGGGAGTTGTAGTCCAACAATATCTAGAGGCCCTTTGGGGTGTAAGCATATACTGGTCCTTGGTACCTAAAGTAGACTGTGCTAATAGCCTAAATATAAATATAACTATCTGGGCTTGAGGCTAATAAATGGGTAGCTTGTGAGAAGCACAGAGTTATGTAGATAACAGTATGAATGTTCAGTCAGTTGGTTCTGGATTCACTGCTGTAGCTGTGTACTGGAAACAAGAATGCTTGCTGTTTTAAATTAGTGGCTTCATTTTATTTTCTAGGTTTTCCCCTTCTTTCAGGAGTGGAGTAATTGTCACAACTCAAAAAAACGCATCACCAGAATCTGACACTCTCCTGCTAACTGTATGTAATTGTACCACGTAGCATAAGTTAGCCATAGTGCAAACTTTTAAGAGGGGGTTGTCTACACATGATGAGGGCAGCAAGAATGGAATGTATGCTAGGCTATATGTATTCATAGATGGTCACTAGGGAAGTTATCACAACACTCTAGTAGTCATTAAATGGAGGCAGGGAATGGCGTGTACACTTTGTGAAGGTATGTACTGAGGTAAGGTACAAACATAGTTTAAGATGTAAAGAGTTTTCTATACAGAGTTTCTATTCCAGGCATGTACTCATAGTTGAAATACAATGTTTTGGGTTAATCCTAGAAAAATAAGGGGTATTTAGTTTAGCGTCTGTGTTCCAGAGTGTTTTATTGAGTAGTTTTAAAAAAAATGAAATCAAGGTGAGCTGGAGCACGCACAGTCGCTTGATTAGCATATTCTCAAAATCTCTTGGACACACTGCACAAGATCATAAGATGCTCTTTGGAGACAGTGATCTGGTTTGGAGGCAATGTAGTTTAGCTGTTAAACCTTAGCATGGGGTGGGAATTTTCGGTGCTCCAGACATTGCTGAATTACAACTCCCATCAGCCCCAGTAAAAATGGTCAGGGATGATATGAGTTATAGTTCAGCAACATTTGAAGGGATAGAGGTTCCCCACAGCTGCTTTTGCATGATGAGAATAAACAGCAGTGAGCCTGAGACTTGCATGCTCCCCTGCCTTGTCTAAGAATTTGGAAGCTTCTGCAGCTTGATTTGTCATCTAAACTAACAAACTGTGGATAATTTCAACTATGGGTTGTTCAGAATAAGTCAACTTCAAACCATGGAGGTGACTTGTTAAAACAAACCATATTTAAACAATCACAGTTAAGTGACACACTAACTATGAACAACGTATTTTTTAAAAAAGCCACAGTTTCCAGACTCCCTTTAAACTTGTTTTAAATTCCTTTGTACGTTGGTCAGATGGCTATGTGATCAAGTGGGCTTCAAAGCAGTTGCATGTTCCTACCCAACAGAGCTACACGTCCTGGTTTTTTTATTAAAAAAAACTTGGGTCCAAGGAACAGTTGTTATTTCCGGTCTACTTATTCACAGGTCCTTTTTCCATTGTATTGAATGCCCTTTCCCAGTTAACGGAGAAGAACCATGAAGAGCCGCTCCACAACTCCCCCTTTGCACGTCCATGTGGATGAAAATACCCCTGTCCATGTCCATATTAAAAAGGGTCAGAAAACACCACCACCTGCAAAATCCCAGGTATGAGTGTGCAGCTGGGTGTTTGTAGGGGCTCTGTCATGAAAGCCCCAGCCCCCAGAAGCACCAGTGAAAACCCAGCCCTCTTCCTACCTTGCAAAAGAAGAGCAGGCCCAAATGGTTTGTTTGCTTTACTTTGTAGCTCTTGTCACAATGTGTAGATGTAGAAAATTGGCTTTTTTTCTTTTTTTTTACTGCTCTGGCTTGTGTTCATGGGTGCCATATCTTCCTGCTGAAAGACTGTTTTTGTTTAGTGCTTCCTTCAAAATCAATACCACTTCCTCTCATTAATACAAATTTCTATTTGAAGTCTTATACATTAATTAAGGAAATAATTAGGGTGGGGGTAGGATGGCAAGTGTCATGGTAGGAAGGGGATTTTTTCCAAACTGTGCTGAAATTAACATATTTGTCCAGTTTACATTTCATGGTAAACCAAATTTGGTTTGTTTTGCTCCTCTTTGCTAGTGCACAGTCCTCGGTGCACCAGCAGCGGTTTAGTCATGCTGGCCACTTGACCCAGAAAACTGTTTGCGGACAAACTCTGGTTCCCTTGGCCTGAAAAGCGAGTCGAGCACTACACCCCATAGTTCCCTTTGACTGGACTTAACTGTCCATGGGTCCTTTACCTTTACCTAGTGTATGAAAAAAGCAAACTGTGGTCCTTACCAAGGATGGTGGTTTGCTTTCCTCAAATGACAGTCAGTAAGCTAAGAACGAACTTCGGCTTTATCCATCAAGATTTATGGAGACCCAAACAAAGCAAGAAAGCTGGTTCAGCAAATGCTGGGCTATTGATTTGTTTCTCCCCAGTGCTTGTGGGGAGAGGAATAGTGGGTGCAATGAACTCATGCCCTGTAAACCATCCACTGTCTGGCAACTTGGGTACTCCAAACCAGCAGAAACAGTGGAACCTATGCATTTACCATGGAGAATGAAAATTGTATAATTCCTTAAAAACGTTACACCCCGCAGCTGAAGAGCAAACCAACAGTTAATTAATCAAAAACTGTAAGCCCACAACTTAGGTGGGAGGTTACATTCTGGGGGTCACACCTAAAGTCAAAATTGTGTATAGTCAAAACCCATTAGGTTCAATGATGGGTGGGATTACCAAAGTCATTTTTCCTGGAGCCCCACCCACTTTCTGCCCCTTTTTAAATTTAATTTATTCCCCCCCCCCCACCCCATGTATGTAAAGTTGAACATGCACAAGTTAAATGTGTGTATGTTGTGGGCTTTAATTAACAGAGCTGCCCAAATGGGTGCAGTTGAGTTGAGTTTAATGCCCTTTCAATTTTAGCACATTCCTATGCCCAAAGCACCTTGTTGAATCTTTCTTAACACATGCAAATATTGTGGGCCACAGGAGAATTGTAATTTCATCTAGTCATGTGAAACACCTTCTGTTGTCTTTCTAAGAGTTGGTGTCTTGTCTGTGATTCTGTTGTCTACATACATGCGTTTTGGCCCGAGGCCTTTCAGCAGTAAAGGTCACTTTCAAAGATGTATTGCAGCCTACCCATTCAGCAGCTTCAGGTTCCTGGTAAGTCCTGCAGTAGGTGGCCCTGGGATCAGATGCAGAGTCATGTGTTTCCAATTCACAATCAGTACTTTGCTGCAGCTGTGACCTAAATCTTTCCTACCATACACTAGATCTAATCTTCCCAGGGTAACTAAGGCCCACCTTGCATCATAAGTGACTAAGAGACATGATGATGTCATAATGATCCTGACTGACAAAGAATAAAGCTGCTTTCAGGGGTACCATACTCCTCACTATGCGGTACCTATATTTCTTTTTCCTGAGCATGGTTACTGAGACTGCACTGTGATGTAGAATGTGAAGCCTTTTTCGTGGTACAGTTTGTTGGAATAGTTTTGTTGGGGGCTTCCAGTTTCGTTGCACAAATTTTAGGGGTGGAAGTAATCTCAGCAAGTGTTTCAGGCAACTAAAACAGTATACTACTCTCTCTCTCTTTCCCCCTCTCTGCTCCCCCATCCTCACAGCAAAAGCACAAGCAGAAAATGAAAGGGGATACCGTGAATGTGCGCCGCAGTGTCCGAGTAAAAACCAAAGTCCCCTGGATGCCCCCAGGCAAAACATCTTGCCGAGAGTCATCATACAAGTGGGAGGTAGGACAGCTGCTGTTTCTTTTGCAGCCTAATAACGGGCCTTTTCAGAAGCTGAACTGGAAAGAAGCTGATGCTCAGTCATAGAGCACATGCTTTGTGTGCGGAAGGTCCCAGGTGTGCTGAAGCATTCCTGGCTGAAATCCTATAGAGCACAGGTTTTCAACCGTTTTGAGTTCATAGCTCTCTTGACCAACTACATTCGTTCTGCGGCTTCCCTGTGGGGAAACACGCTCAGAGCCTCAAAAGTCCAGTTTTGTCACCCCTTGCCCCTTGGAGACTGGCCAAAGGTGAACATGAGGCGAGCACCTTACCTTGGAAGACAGCAGTGGCAGTAGCAGGTGGCGCCGGACCTGCATGGCAGAAAGGCTTCCCTTTGGCGTTGGGCACTCAGCTCCCAGGCAGGCATTGCACACAGCGAGCACAACAAAGGCCAGCACAATGCCTGCCTGGCCTCCCACTTGTCTGTGCATTCCCAACAGCAAGGGCCAGTGGACTGGCTTGCTGGGCTCCCTTGTCCGCTAACTTGTTTACTCGGAGACTGCCTCAGCTCCTGGCAACCAGCACCCCCTGGCCAGCCCCAGAAGCACCATTCACTTGTGGAGATTGTAGCCAAGACCATTGCAACAAACAGCTGTGCAAGTCTTTGGGCATCAGAAAAGGTAGGGAAGGAAAGAGAGACAGAGGCCAGTGTTGTCCGCGGCACCCCTGACCATCATTCAAGGCACTCCAGGGTGCCATGGCACACTGGTTGAAAACCACTGCTATAGAGCATGTTGGGCAGTTCTGAGCTAGATGGACTAACTGTCTCTGTATAAGGCAGCTTTTCATGTTGGCCACCTTGCCAACAGTTATTATTTATTATTATTTTTATATTGCCCTTCATCCAAGGATCACAGGGTGGTTTATCGTATAAAAACAGAAAAATACATAACATAAGAAACGAAAACAATAACTCTTCCCACTGTTGCCCTGTTTAAAAGGCCATAGATGGTTTAATCAGCCAAAGGCCTGGTTATAGAGGAATGTTTTTGCCCGGCACCTAGTTGAGTCTCTGGCTTCCCATGCTCAGGAGCTGTATGTACCCACCCCCAGGATTTCCCCCAGGAAGAGCTTGGGAATGAGCCTCGGGTTTTTAAAAGAGACGTTTGCTTTTATGAAAGTGTTGTTCTTGTTTTTAATATGTAGAACAAAAAACTAATTAAAATAAATCAATGGGTTATAACTTCCTGTGGTATACGACCACAGGGAGCATTAATGGCTACGAATAAGATCTATTTATTTTGGTACATGGGTTTGGGTTTGAGGATCGTGAAAAGACAATGAAATTGTTTGACAATTTGGGGGGGTCTAGGTCTGTATTTTGGGACAGGAGGATGAATCTTCAGTTCAAATGCTTTGGTATGAAAATATTCTTGTATTGTGATGGGGCATTCCCTTTCCCTTATGCAGTGTAAAGGAGATGAAGGTTTGTGACAGCCACCATAATCTTCAAGACTCTGGTTCAGGCATGGAGCTTCTGTGCTCCATCTGCTCCTCTTGCACCCTGCTTGCCCTGGGTGCAAGAAAACTACTGAACTGTGATTAAAAAGTTAGCAGTAACCAAGTTAATTCAGCAGTAATAACTATTGAGATATAGAAAATGAGAAAATGAAAAGATAGGGATTAATTAGAATATGTAGTGGAAAAGAAAATCATGAAGTGAACCGTGGAAAGGGCAGGGGGAAGTCAAAATTAAATGTCTATTTGGTATTTAGATCATCATTCAGTGTACTTATTGTAAAATGAAAATGATAGACTTCTCTGTGACCCTTCCCCTCCGCTGGGAGATGGGAATCATTCGAATGGTCTGCCCCTGCCACTTAGTGGATCCAAAGGGTTTCCAGAGAGTGGTAGGGGATGTTTTATCCCATGTTGATGGCCTTTCCGCTGATTCCCTGGTGTCCCACTGGAATGCGGAGTTAACCAGGGCTGTCGACTGTCTGGCTCTGAAGTGCCCTCTCTGATTGCATGGATCCTGGACAGCCCTGTGGTTTTCCCCGGAGCTGAGGGCAATGAAGCAATTGCTGAGATGACTATAGCGCCAGTGGCAGAAAACTCATTCTGAATTGGACAGGACACAGGTTAGAGCTCAACATTGAGCCTACCAAGTGGCAATAGCAACAGCAAAGACTTTCTTCACCACCTCTATTGCATCTGCAGAGAACAGCAGCAGGAGACACTTTCAGGTGGTTTGCAATCTAACCGCCTCCTTTGCCATTGGGGCCTGGTGAGGACCCCAAAATCTCCTGCAATGATTTTGCTAAATTCTTTGCAGATAAAGTCACTCAGATTTGGAAAGAGGTAGACTCCACTGTGGGAGCAGGGCGGGCGGGAGAGTGCTAGAGTCCTGTCTAGTTAAGTTGCATGGGATCAGTTCCAATCTGTTACCTCCGAGGATGTGGACAGGCTGTTTGGATGAGTGAAACAGACCACCTGTCTCCTTGATCCTTGCCCATCCTGGCTAATCAAAGCGAGCCATGAAGGACTGGGGGATGGGCTCTGGGGGTGGTGAATGCTTCCCTCTGTGAAGGAGCCTTCCCAGACCCGTGGAAAGAGGTGGTTATTAAATGCTTCTTTAAAAACCATCTTTGGACCTGGCCGATATGACCAGCTATTGCCCAGTTTCAAATCTTTCATTTTTGGGCAAGGTGGTCGCTGAACAACGGGTGGTCGCTGAACCACTCCAGGCACGCCTGGAGGATTAAAACCATTTAGACCCCTTCTAATTGGGATTGAGGCCTCATCATGGGACTGAAATTGCCTTGGTCTCACTGGTCAGTGATCTCCAGTGGGCTAAGGATAGAGGTGAAAGCAGTTTCCTGGTCCTGCTGGATCTCTCAGCAACCTTCGATACCATCAACCATGACATCCTCCTGGACCGTCTAGAGGAGCTGGGAGTTGTGGGCAGTGCTATGCAGTGGTTCCGCTCCTTCCTCCTGGGCCATGTCCAGAAAGTGGTGTGGGGGGGATCAGTGTTCAGATCCCTGGCCTCTTACTTGTGGGGTGCCTCAGGGCTCTGTCCTCTCCCCTGTGCTTTTTAACATCTACATGAAGCCACTAGGAGATCATCAAGGGCTTTGGGCTGGGTGTTCATCAGTATGCAGATGATACTCAGCTGTACCTCTCCTTCAAATTAGAACCAGTGAGGACATTTAAGGTCCTGTGTGGGTGTTTGGAGGTGGTTGGCAGATGGATGGCAGCTAACAGATTGAGGATGAATCCTGACAAGACAGAACTACTGTTTTGGAGGAGAGGAGGAGGGTGGGTGTGGAGGACTCCCTGGTCCTGAATGGGGTAACTGTGCCCCTGAAGGACCAGGTGTGCAACCTGGGAGTCATGTTGGACTCACAGCTGTCAGTGCGGGCGCAGGTCAATTCTGTGTCCAGGACAGCTATCTACCAGCTCCATCTGGTACATAGGCTGAGACCCTACCTGCCTGCACACTGTCTCGCCAGAGTGGTACATGCTCTGGTTGTCTCCTACGTGGACTACTGTCATGCACTCTACCTTTGAAGGTGACTTGGAAACTACAACTAATCCAAAATGCAGCATCTAGACTGGTGAATGGAAGTGGCTGCCGGGACCATATAACACCTGTCCTAAAGGATCTTCATTGGCTCTCAGTGCGTTTCTGAGCACAATTCAAAGTGTCGGTGCTGACCTTTAAAGCCGTAAACCACTTTGACCCAGTATACCTGAAGGAGTGTCTCCACCCCCACTGCTCAGCCTAGACACAGAGGTCCTGCTCCAAGGGTCTTCTGCTTGTTCCAGGCAGAGGGCCTTCTCGGTAATGGCACCCACCTTGTGGAACGCCCTCCCTTCAGATGTCAAAGAGATAAAGAATTACACAACTTTTAGAAGACACCTGAAGGCAGCCCTGTATTGGGAGGTTTTTAGTGCTTGATGTGTTATGTTTTTATATATGCTGTAAGCCATGCAGACTGTCTGGGGAAATCCAGCCAGAAGTGTGCGGAATTGATCACATCTACTTGAGTGAAGTAATCTTCCAGTTCAGCATTTCCATTTTAACAATGGAGATGGGAGACTGACTCATGTTCTCTTCTTTGGTACAGTCCTGGAGGAGTGAGCGACATGGCATGACACCTAACTAAAAAGTCATCAGACAAAATAACTGAGGACCTGTCTGTTAATAGCTGTTTGACATGATATCTGAATTGTGGGGCTGCCCTTGAGGACAGGAGGGTGTGGAGGCTGGTGCAGAATGCAGCTGCTGGGTGGTGAGTGGGGCAGCCCCATGAAACCCCTGCTGCCCCAGTCCAGAAAGCACTGCATTGGCTGCCAGTGAGCGACCGGGCTCAATTCATGGTGTTAGTACCAGCATATAAAATCCTGAATGGATTGGGATCAAGGACCTAAAAGAGCAATCATTCCTCTTTACCCAGGAGTTTGACGTCTGAAAGACAGTTTTCCTGGCAACCCTGAGATCACGATGTTTTTAACTGTTTGTAGAATGATTTTTAAAAACAGGTTTTTTAAGAATATTTTCTTGTTGTTGGTTTTTTTTTTTAAAACACCTCTCATGAGAGGAAAGGTGTAAGAAGCAAAATAACAGCCTCTGTCCTATTCTCAATCAGGGACCAACCCATCGCCTGGAAATAACTCCTCCAGATTCAGATAAGTTACTGTCAGTGCTCCGCTTGAGTGATCTTTCAACAGACGAGGAGGACGCCATTCACTGCAAAATGGACAAGTACGAGAAGAAGATAGGGAGCTTAATGAACGTGGTGGGCACCTTGAAAAATGAGGTGAGGCAGTCAGAGTTGAGTTGATATTTCTTCTTCTTCCAACATGTTTGGAATGAACGTTTGGAATTTTGTAGAAAATGATGTGGCACAACCCCCTTGTTAAAACGTCTTGTGGTGTTAGGGTGAATTGTGTGAAGATTTTTGCCCCATCCTTCCGCCAGTCAATTTCATTGTTTAAACCTGAGTTTGAAGAGGAAAGAGAGGTCACAGGGAACCTTTGGCACTCCTTACGTTGCTGGATTCCAATCCCGTTATCCTTAACCACTGGCCATGCTGGCTGGGGGCGATGTGAGTTGGGCATCTGGAAGGTCTCAGGTTCCCCACCCCACCTATTCTGCCTTTTTTTTTTTTTTCCCTGTTTAAAAAAGACAGCAGAGAACAAGAAAAGGTGCCTGATGACAAGTTTTCCAAAGCTAGCAGAACAAAACAGCTATAGCAAAATTAGGAGGCTTCTATTAAGAGGATTGGGACACGGGTGGCGCTGTGGGTTAAACCACAGAGCCTAGGACTTGCCGATCAGAAGGTCGGTGGTTCGAATCCCTGCGACGGGGTGAGCTCCTGTTGCTCAGTCCCTGCTCCTGCCCACCTAGCAGTTCGAAAGCATGTCAAAGTGCAAGTAGATAAATAGGTAGTGGTCTAGTGGGAAGGTAAACGGCGTTTCCGTGCGCTGCTTTGGTTCGCCACATGACCCGGAAGCTGTATGCCAGCTCCCTCGGCCAGTAAAGCAAAATGAGCACCGCAACCCCAGAGTTGGTCACGACTGGACCTAATGGTCAGGGGTCCCTTTACCTTTATTAAGAGGATTATTGACTTGCTCTTCATGTTCAGTAATGGCTACCATATAAATTGGTATAACGTGTGTTGCCCTGTTCAATTGACATCCTCCAAATTGCAGCCCTGTAAGAATAAGACCTGGGGGCATTTAGTCTAGACGCTACGGTACGCTGTAACAATGGAACAGCTCCAAGTACAGGAGTTCTGTTCAGGTGACCAGTGTTCACTTTCTGCATTATTAGAGCCCACCTTCCTGTTGGGCAAAGCAGAATTTGTTCCACTTTGAATGGGCTGGATGAATGGGCAGAATTGTGATATTTCCTCTTTTACTAAAATCTTCCCAAATTTGTTGGCCAAAGTGTTTTTATTTTCTGATATATTGTGGGTGAAAAAATTATCTCTTTCTCTCTGTTGAATTTGTTAGATGTGTCCTCAGATCTGTCCTCAGATCAAAATGCCAAAGCGGGATGATGGGCGATGTGTGGCTAAGCGTCTCCTTGAAGAGCAAAAGGAAGAGCTGGACGAGGTCACTCAGGAACTGGTGGAGACAGAGCATGAGAACACTGTTCTCCGGCGCAATATTGAACGCATGAAGGAGGAGAAAGACCTTAGCATGTAATTAAGCTTTCGACCCTTCCTATCTCTGTATATCACTGGGTTTGGGAGAGCAGCTGTGGGCAAAGCCCAAGGCCCTTTACAATTTACAGGTGGTTGTGGTCGTGGGTTCTTATTCTCTCTTTTGAAGCAGGGTTATTATTTTTACACTTGGCCTCTTCCGTTGGGAGCAGCCTCTGTCTGCTTCAGAGCAGCAAGGCTTTCTTGGAATAACTGATCTGAACCATTGCAACCAAATATGCCTGACATAGCCGGGATTCAGCAGTCTGGATGGAAGTCGCTAAAAATGGCAACCGTATTGTATGCACTGTTACCCCTGCACCTGCTACTGTGGTGCCTGTGTCAAACCAGGGGAAATGCCCCCATTTGTCCCACACAAGTGCTCATAAGTACCAGCAGAACTGTCAGTAGAGGGTCAAACTTCTCATGATAGACTGCAGCTCCTGGGCAGCTAAGAGCATTTGGGGGATGTGGTGTGACCTACGCCTTCTGCTGTTGTTGTGATTATGTTGTTCAGGCTCAGTCTAAACATGTGGCAGAATCCTGAGTTGGTAGGCTGTGCTTCTTCATGGTGAGAGGCAAGGAATTCTATTACTTTAAGTACCTCCTTGGGATGCGGGTGGCGCTGTGGTCTCAACCACAGAGCCTAGGACTTGCCGATCAGAAGGTCGGCGGTTCGAATCCCTGCGATGGGGTGAGCTCCCGTTGCTCAGTCCCAGCTCCCGTCAACCTAGCAGTTCGAAAGCACGTCAAAGTGCAAGTAGACAAATTGGTACCGCTCCAGCGGGAAGGTAAACGGTGTTTCCATGCGCTGCTCTGGTTTGCCAGAAGCGGCTTAGTCATGCTGGCCACATGACCCGGAAAAACTGTCTGCGGAAAAATTGTCTGCGGACAAATGTCAGCTCCCTTGGTCAGTAAAGCGAGATGAGTGCAGCAACCCCAGAGTCGTTCGCGACTGGACCTGTCAGGAGTCCTTTACCTTTACCTTTTTACCTCCTCATAATTGTTTCAAGATTCCTTATACGTTTAAAACTGGCACATCAGGGGCGCAATCTCCAGCCTAGTGTCTTTTCTAGCCTTTTTTACTAGGCATAGGGGATTTAATAAAATTTAGGTTAAAAAATGAATAAATAATAATCCTGTGCCCCCCATCCCATGCTATTTGAGGATTAACACATTATTCCTTTCCAGACTTCAGAAGCGGCACTTGATGCACGAGAAAGAATGCTTGATGTCCAAGCTAGTGGAGGCTGAGCTGGATGGAGCAGCTGCTGCCAAACAGATTAAGGCCCTGAAGGACGCTATCTGCAAACTAAAATCTGTATGTGCCAGTCCAGAGTAGTGCATAGAAGCAGCTTTTCAAAAGGTGGTGGTTGGGAGCATCCCCAAGGAGGAGCAAGTGGTTTCAGTGGGGAGTCTGGTGGCTTGCCTTGGTCTCTTGATTGGGAAAAGAGCAAAAGTGCGACAGCCTGCTCCCCTGGCCGTTCCCAGGTGGTGTTGCTTAAGCTTGTCTAGATGTACAGGGAAGATGAGGTGGTAACACTACATTGTGCACCACTTCAGAGTGCAGGGGGAGGTTGGATTTGGAACCCCTGGAAAACAGTTCTGCTCATGAGACAGGGCATCCCTTGTGTCTTGGTTCTCTTTTTCTCCTGATGGAGCCACTCCCACTCCAGAAATCCTATCCGGAGCACTGGGTGGACCCTCCTGAACAATACAGGACCTGGCAGGGGAAACTGAAGGGAGAGTTGTAGGCCTGGGTGACATATTGATATATTGCTCAGGACTGGTATGAGAGGGAGACCACGATGGTGGTTTCACTCAGCAGTTTATTGAGGATGAAACCGCTGCCGCCTCTGCTACCAGCACCCAGCATGCTGAGGGGGAAACAAACTGCCCCCGGGCGTTGGAGGCAGAGGGACTCCAGAGTGGTGGCAGTTTCACCAGTGATATACCATCAAGTGAAACCGTCATCGTGGTCTGTCCCTCTCACCAGCAGAGGGAGAAACAAGCTGCATCAGCGAGGCATGATACAGCTTGTTCCTCCCTTTGCTTCCTTAAACTGCTTGGCTGAAGAGTGCGCCTCTGCCTTCACCTCAACCAATCAGTTTTATGGAGCCCCTGACCTGCCACCGGCTCACACAAGCCAGTGGCGGGGTGGGGGAATCTATTAATGTGCTCCCCAGCTGTGAGAGCCCCATTTCGGCTCCTGCTTGCATGTCAGTATGAGCATGATCACGGCTGTTCAGATGGGGAGGTGCAGGCTCCATCACAGTTCTCCACTCGGGTGCACGGCTGTGCGCCGCTTAACGGAGATGTTGAAAGGAGCTCCCACTCGCCTGTTAGACTTGCCCCCCACTCCATTAGACTCCCGCCACCCTGCCTTGCGGATTTAGCCCAGAAGGGTGAGCTGTGTCTTTCTTCTCAGGGTGAACAACCATCCCACAAAGAGGCAGCGTGCCTGAAGGAGCTTTGCAAAGGATCCCCCAAGGTCTCTGCTCCCTGTTGGAGCTTGCTCAGCCCGCTGCAGGCAGGAGCCTTTCCACCCTCCAGCTGATCAGCAGGCTGGGGCCAATTGCATTGGCCTCAGCCTGTGAGGTGCTGGAGTCAAAAGCGCCTCAGCTGCTGCGGTAGGAGCTGCTGCAGTTTCGTCCAGCGTCTCACTGGCTGGGGCCAGTATAGCTTCTTTCAACATTGCAGTTTATTATCAAGTAGAGATGTTTGGGTGTTGGAAACCTAACATCACCCAGCCCTAGAGAGTTGGCAAAAATTGTTTCATCTCCTCTTTTTGTTTGCAAATACCACTGTTGGTTCTGAACTGCTTCAACTGAAGGAAGGACATCTGATTACTGAAGGCACCTGTGGATTCAATTCAATAAGTTTTGAATCTCCCTTCCCTGTTTTATTAAACAAATTCAAATAGATACACATCAAGGAAAGGGGTTCAGTCCCAGCCCTTTACCTGCTGTGCTGGTCTTTACAGTGTAGGTTTTTATTTGAGGAGGGGAAAGCCCTAAGCATATGATTTCTCCTCTACTCATCCATCCTTCTATCTTGTTCTTCTGTGTGTACAAACCAGACCCTCACAAATGAGGGCACCATGCTTCCTACATAATGTGTGAGCTTCCAGGGGCCAGATCCTTACCAGGAAGGGACTAAGAGAGGCAAGTCTTGCAAGTAAAGGAGGGAACTTCTCCAGTGCTCTGACTTTGCTTGGAACCAGGAACTTAGAAGGGAAGGAGGAGGAGATTTGCAATAGCCTTTCAAGTACCCAATCTCAAACTCCCACCTTTAGTCCTGCTGCTTAGGCTGTGTGATCCTGTTCCCATTACAGCAGCAACAGAAGATTAAACTTTGTCCTCCTGCTTATTGGCTGATGTCACAAGCGATGCCAGCTGATGGGTAGATGGGCACAGTTTGCAGAAAAACTTGTGGCAAGCATGGTTTGAGTTAAAATCTGGCCAAGCTGAATTGTGCTCCTTGCATGGATGTAACAGTTGACTGCTGCAGTTCAGTAAGTCTCTGGGTTTTCAAGATCCATATTAATATGGGTGCTAATTCCTTCTAGGATACTGCCCTGCTGATTTTATTGACAGCAGAGGACACTGTTTAGTTCCCAGTGTAAGAGTCAACTTTTGTATGTGAAATTGGGATAAGTTGGAGCAAAATGTCTTGACGCTTGCTCCACACCTACAGTTCTCATAACTGTGTGTACTAAAAATAATAATTTCCAAGTGCAGACATTGCTTCCTAATTAAACAGTGACATCATTTTATTCAATCCTACATCTTTAATCAAGTAATGAATTGATCAATTAATATCTGCAGCTTTGCTCTGCTAATCTTAGATTTCACAGTAGGCGAGGTGGCAAATGTAAAGCACCGTGCAACAATTTTGTTTTTAAGTACCTGAATAGCAGAAATAGTAGATCTTTCTGCCATCCAAAACTTGCCCTGAAGCTATTTACACATGTAGCTGGCAAAGCCTTGTTGAATAAAGATTTGGAAGCTGTACTGCTAGATAGCAAATCTGATAGCCTTGGCTTTGTTTTTTTTTCTTCCTCCCCCCCAGGAGAAGAACATGACCGTCTCGGACATCAACACACTTACTAGACAAAAAGAACTGCTGTTGCAGAAGTTAAGTACTTTTGAGGAAACCAACCGTACGCTCCGAGACCTGCTTAGAGAGCAACATGGTCGAGAGGTGAGTGAGGACCGAAACACCTGCTCTTTGGTACTGATTCCTACTTTTCTTTGGACTCGACCTAAAGAACTGTGTGCGGAGCAAATATGCCTGCTAGTAGTTTTGCACAAACAGGGTAGTAGAAGTGCATAGTGCTGTCATGGGTAAATTCCTATCTGGTTCTCAAAATCTGCTTATGCAAGAGGAAGCTGTCTTCTACTGAGTAGGCCTACTGGTACATCTGACTCGTCTCCCTCAGTGGTAGCTATTGTGGTGCCTCTAGAATCTAGATCAGGGATAGGGAACCTAAGGCCCATGGGCTACAAGCGGCCCATAGGGGTGGTTTAACCAGCCTACAAGCCGCCCCTGAACCAAGCCACCATGCAGCACCTGAAATCGCATCTGCACAGACACCGGAAATCGATGTTGAACAAGCTCTTGCTAGCCCTAGCTGTCATGGCCAGTGGTCAGGGTTTGGTGGTCCTTGTGGTCCTTGTGGGTTCCCTATCCCCACCCTGAGTCTTCAGATTTTGTGAGCCCAGTTTGATACAGTGCTTATACACAAGGTGTAGGGCAGCCCTTTGGTGTGACAGAAGGCACCTCTGGATTACATTTTCTGCATGATGATTGTGTTTGACTATCTGGTATGTTACACCAGAGAATCCTAAACTGGTCCAAGAAAACCCAAATTTTCTGATCAAAATATCTAGGCAGATTGCAATGCTGATCATTCTCACAGTCAGCTTGAAGTGTCTTGGATTGCTTGTTTTATGTTTGCAAGAAACACAAGTCTGAAGCTGGGATATTTTTGGTAGGGAGCATGGTGATGACGGGTGACCTTATGGTTAAACAGCAAGGGAAAGAAATGCAGAGCACAAGGCTTTTCCTTTCCTGCGTGCAGCTTTCGTTAACTTGCGTGTGCACATTTTTGAGGTAGTAGCTGTTCGAAAAAACAAATGGCAAGGCTTTTGGGATTCAACATGTGGCACCAGATGCCACCCGAACTTAAATGTGCAATTGGCAAGAGAAATGGTTACAGCAGGGGTAGCCAACATGGTGCTTCCCCCATTTTTCTGGACTCCAAATCCTGTTGTGCCTGAATATGGGCCACTCTAGTCTGACAGCTACTAGAAGGCACCGTCTTGGCTATCCCTGGATTACAGTTAACACAGTACTTCCTGCTTTCTATACTCTCCCCCTAGGGATGGCCACCTCAATTTTTCCATGGTGCCCTTAAGACTTAATTACCCTTTCCCAACTTTCAAAAAAGATTTTATGATTGTGTGTGGTGTTGAATTGTATTTCTTTAATTTGCTGTTTTCATTTCATTTCTTTAATTTGCTGTTTTCATTTCTGATTACTTTAGAATAATCTTGGAAGCTCTTTAATCAAAAGGGCTGCCTATTAGTCTCCTGTATACTGTAGTAATAACACACGGACGCAATTTTGCTTATTTTGTACACCACTGTAGTGTTTCATAATGTTAGGTTTGCTAGCATTAGGGAAAGGGGCACAGAGCGATAGTTTTCTTTTTCTTTTCTTTTTTTTCTTTAAATTTTTTTATTAGGTTTTACAATTTAAATTTATCATAGTCACATAAATCATATAAAAACAAAATTCAAGCAACCCATTCCCCCCCCACCCCCGACTTCCCTCAACTTCCTCTTTCTGGCTTTTTGTACATACAATACTACTGCTTACATTATGTTATTTTAACTTTGTAGTCTTTTATTTACATATATTCTCATTACTATCATTTTATATCATTACGATATACCGTAGTTTTCTTTTTGGTGCAGAAGTCAGCGACACACAGACCCCTTTCAGAAGCAACACCATCATTGCTCTGCAAAAGCCAGCCCTATAGGAAAAGGGATGGATTATTTTTTTAAAAAACCTTCCTTTTTGGTTTCTTCCTCTCTCTCTTTAACACTTTCTGCAGAAAGACTCTCAGAAGTTGGCTGAGCAGCAGGCGCAACTAATGAAGAGGCTTAGTGAAGCTGATGCCGAAAAAGCGGTAAATATATGCCAGAAATTCGCTCTCTGTGTTTCTTGCCTGTATATTGAAGGAACTTAAGATTATGTTCTTGAAACAAAATGCTGGGTTCTTGCCTGCGGACAAAGTGCTGTGCCTGAAGCAGGAAAACCAGGTTGCCCTGGAGGTGCAACTGGAGCATTAGTTTTCTAATGAAGAAATGGCACTTGCCTCAGTTCCTTGATCTGTAAAATGGGGGAAATAATCCACCTAGGGCTGTTATAAGGACAATTGAGGACCAGTTCATCAATTAACATACATCTGTTGTAAACAGTCCCCAGAGGGAAATGAATCTTTGTTCAGTTCTTCTGCCTCATGAAGCTTTTTATTATTTTTGTTACAGGTGATTCTCAGCTTACATGGGGGTTATGTTCCAGGGTAAAGCAAAAATCATGTATAGGGAAAATGCATTGGGTTCAATGGCAGGTGGGATTGTGAAATTCCCCCCACCTCCCGGCCACCCGAGGTTCTGCACCCTTTCTATAAATTTTTATTTATTTATATTTGCACACAAGTCAAGCATGTGTTAGTTGCAAGTTACCTTTACGTATTTCAATTAGTTATCCACCCTTCATCATAGGCTTGTTGGGTTGGGTTACATCAACGTTTAGAAATGGAGCCTCAGTTTGCTCACTTTCCTGTTTCTTCCTTTACTTTGCTGTTGCGTCTGTTAGATTATAAGCCAGCAGTAAGGGCAGCTTTGTAAACAAGTGCAAAACAGTTACATGCCCGCAAAAGAAAATTAATAATACTAGCCTGCTTTTCCGGGGGCGGGGGTGGAGTGTTCCATCCCTCCAGCAGCCTGCTTCATTTCTGTGCTGGGCACAGGGGAGGAAGAAGCCCTCTGGCACTCCACCACCGGCTCACTCCGTGGCCTACATGGGGTTCCTTCTCGCCTATGGCTACCAGGCTAGTACTTAAATACAAGATTGAAGTTGGGGTTGCTTGGTTGTTGCAGTTGTTGCACATCACCAAGGAAATTTTGAACACTTGACAAATAATTACTATCGTCAACCACTGTGGGCTCTCTGTTTTGCAGCAATTGGTAAAAAAACTGCAAGAGAAAGAAAAAGAAGTTGATGATCTAATGGTTCAGATACAGACGGAAAAGGTAAGTTTTTTTCCGGAGGCATTTTATGCTGTGAGATGATGATGATGATTTATTTCTACCCTGCCCATCTGGCTGGGAAATGTCTACCTGGCTTCCCAATGAAATTGGGGGGCAATAGGGTGAAGAAATCATCTTATGGACCTGTTTCCCTCCCTGCTCCCTTCTTTTAGGACCAAGCAAAGACTGCATCTGAACTCTCCAAATCCATGGAAGCCGTGAGGGGCCACCTGCAGGCACAGCTGCGCAACAAAGAAGCTGAGAATAACCGCCTGCAGATCCAGATCCGGGTACAGTACCTTTGTGATATTGAGCAAACAGTGCCTAGTGCTCTACAGTCAGCCAGATGAAGTGGTACAGTGGACTTCTCAGGTTGGGGGATGGAGGAATACAATTATTATTTTAATGTTCCTTTGAACGGTTTGTGCGGTTTTAAGTTAGTACACTAAGAGGAAGACTGTGCAGAGTTTTTCCTCTGGTATGTGGTCACCTACTATGTGCAGAGGGCTTTTAACAGAGGAGCGCATTCGAAAGAAAAGTGTCACTACCTCTCCGGCACAGTCCAAAGTGGTACAGTTTATTCTGCCATCACAAAATTCAGCCACCTCATTTTGCTGCACGTTTAGACTAGGCCCAAGTTCAGAATAGATTGTAGTGAATGAGGGGATGGGGACCCATGGCATTGGGTCACACACAGAATTCTATGCATTCTGCAAACAGGGGGACGGGCCATTTATTCCAGCAGGGGTATGGTTAACTTTTCGATGAATGGAAGCAGTTTGCCACGTTCCATGAATACAGTCACATTGTGGCCCAACTTGCACCCCAGTTTCCCCAGACTCTATGCATACCACACCCAATAATTAAATTCTAAAACCTGGATTTTGCAGTGCCCTCATGGAATTCATTTATTCATGTGAGTTGAGCTTTGCTCAGGCTGTGGAAGCCCTGGCTTTTTCTCAAAGTGATGGTCTCAGAACAAGGAAGTTGTTTCAGACAAAAGGGAGCCTCTTAAAATAGTGCCTACTGCCTGCTGTTTTTATAAGTTCTTATATTAGAAGTAATTCATAAAAAAACTGCCCAGTTAAACAGTGGTTCTTTTGTATTTCTATGTAGGACAGTACTTAGCTAGATGTACCATTGGTCTCACTCAGTTTACTTGTGCTTCCCATGCTGATGGATGCTTCCTGTCCTCTTACATAGCTACTTATAAACTTTTAGCTGGTGTTTTTTTCTGCTAAAGAATCCAGTAGTTTCTTGAGCCACTTTGGTCTTTAGGTTTATTAAATTTGTGCATCACTTCCCGCTAAAAGGTCCTGAAGCAAGAAAAATAGGATAGAATAATAAAATTACAGAAACAGACATATCATGAATGACAATATATATAACAATATAATTTTAAGGGACGTGGGTGGCGCTGTGGGTAAAACCTCAGTGCCTAGGACTTGCCGATCGCATGGTCGGCGGTTCGAATCCCCGCGGCGGGGTGAGCTCCCGTCATTCGGTCCCAGCTCCTGCCCACCTAGCAGTTCGAAAGCACCCCTAAGTGCAAGTAGATAAATAGGTCCCGCTTTCTAGCAGGAAGGTAAACAGCGTTTCCATGTGCTGCGCTGGTGCTGGCTCGCCAGAGCAGCTTCGTCACACTGGCCATGTGACCCGGAAGTGTCTTCGGACAGCGCTGGCCCACGGCCTCTTAAGCGAGATGGGCGCGCAACCCCAGAGTCGGTCACGACTGGCCCGTATGGGCAGGGGTACCTTTACCTTTATAATATCATTTAGGTCAGAAGTAGGGAAAGAAGGGTACAAAAACTTGGGGTTCTACAGTGGTTCTGCATCTGTTCTAGCATCCTGCCCCAGAGCAGTGGTTTGCCCTAGATCCTCCAGAATAAATAGACAGACAGCTAGAGATTATAGTAGAAACTTTTGGTGGTAGGAATAAGTGTGAAGAAAGGGGTGACAGAACACATCTTCCTTCTATATACCAACTGAGCAAAAGATGCAGAACTAAGACTGTGTACAGCTAGTTTTACTAGGTCTTTGGATAGTATAAGACTGGCCTGAGACATTTCTCTATGTTGCCTTGCTCTGCTCTCAGCTCTTGCAGGGAGGAAAAGTTAGTCTTTGGCTGCCTGAACCGCAATTAATTTCTTCATGTACCCTGATTGCCTTCCTTTCAGAATCTGGAGCGTGTTGCAGCTCAGCACAAGGCAGAAGTGGAAAATATCATGGAACAGCTGAAAGAGCTGAAGACGAAGACTGAGCGTGACAAGGACGCCCTGAAGAATGCAATCAAGGCCCAGAAAGAGCGAGCGGAGCGCAGCGAGGAGTATGCAGATCAACTGAATGCCCAGCTGGCAGAAAAGGTGATGGTTGCTCTGGTGCCTCCATGCCAGGGCATCACTTACTATTGGGCCAAAGTTTTGTGGAGTGGCCTCCCCACACCATTTATTTTTTTCATTTGAGGACACCAGCAATAAGGACGGAAGCATGTTACCTGGGAGCTCCCCATAGGCTTATGTACTTCCTCCCCATCTTCTTCTTCCTTCTGTTCTTCTCACCTTCCCTTCCTGTCCAACATTAATATGGCTTGGTGTTATGATGCACTGGAGATAAATGACAACTGTGGTTAGTTCTCAACCAAAACAGCTTTTAATTCTTGATTTAAAGCAAAGTATAATCAAAGTCATCGCTGCAGATGTAACTCTGTGCCACCCTTGTGAAAGCTGAAAAGGAAAAGAAGGGGAGAATCTGCAAAGGGAATGAGCACGCTGTTGACCACTTAACTTGGTTAGGACATTGAGGAGCATTTGATCTGTATTGGGCTTGCCTTGATCTTCTAGGCTTGGCTTTGGCTGAAGGTGGCTAGAAGTACAGGGCTGCTGTGAAAGTCTACAGTGGACCCTCCGGATACGAACTTAATTCGTTCTGGGGGTCCTTACGTACCCCGAAAAGTTTGCAACATGAGGAGCTGCTACTGCGCACTCATGTGGCACGATAGAGCACTTCTGTGCATGTGTGCATGGCAAAACCCAGAAGTATACACTTCCAGGTTTGCCACGTTCACAACCCAAAAGTTACGTTACCCAAAGGTCCATTGTATTTGCTTTGTACAACTTGTCATTAGTGTGGGGTGTCAGATGAGTTCTTGTTTTCTATGCCAAACAATGTGGCTGCTCTTCTAACCTTGCCTGTTGCCTTGCTTGGCAGGACAACTATGTTGCTGAGGCGTTGTCCACCTTGGAATCATGGAGAAGCCGCTACAACCAGGTGGTGAAAGACAAAAGTGATCTGGAAGTCGAGATTGTGATGCTGAACAGGTGAGAGCTGTGCTGTCCCATTTGGAGCTGGCTCCCAAAACGGCTCGCGTGGAGGGATGGAATGGGAGGGATGGGAGGCAGCACAACACTCAGATCCAAAAGATTACTGTGGGCTCCTGAAGAAGCTACTGGGCTCCATCAGCCCCAGCCAGCATAGCCAATTGTTTGGGGTAGAGGGAATTTAATGTCCAACAACACTGCAGAGCTACAGGTTCCCCATCACTGCATTACTCTCTTTTTAGTTAGTTAAGAAGGTGATGGCCATATGTCCTGGCTCTCTGTCATTTCTGTTTCCTCCATGACTTGTGACTGCAATTCTGCCAGCTCTGTGATTTTTGGATTTTTTTAAAAAAATCGATTCAGAACTGTGTTGTGTACAGCATATAATCCTGTTGGTGCTCTGTGCTAAAGGGGGTTCAAATTGTGCGAGTTTGCAATAAGTCACAGAATGCTGGTATTGGCTTCTTTGCATTTAGTCTGCTTTCAAGGCCTAAGTTGTCAAAGAATGTGGACTTCTTTGCAGAAAGGCTGAAGGAATGACAGGAGATCAGGTTATGAAACGGGGTGCGGGGTATGAAAGACAACAGTTGCCTGCAGGGAGGACAGTCTGGTCTGAAAAGTGTTCCGAGGGCCAGAAAGAGATGCTAGTGGGCCCTCAGATCTGACATTAACCACCCCAGTGTAGTGAAACAGGCAAGTAAGAGCCTTGCACAAAAAAATTACTGCCAGTAAAGACAGAGAAGTTGAATCTCTATTTATGTCTGTCAGGTATTTTATAAATTTTGTAAGCCACTCTTGGTATGTTCTTTTAAATGGAAACTTTGAAATTACTTTTTTTAAAACTTAGCAAATAAAAATATCCAGTATTTCACTACTGACATTATGAGACAGATCAGTATGATTTTTGATTGTGGACTTGGGTTTAAATTCCCTAATATGAAAGAAGCTAAGTCCATTAATTAATATTTAGCAAATCTAAGTATTCTATACAATTGCCAAAACCGAGGAATATTCTTGCACAGTGGTTGTTCCTAGGATCCAGATAGCTTGAGTGCAAAGGGGAATCCATTAGGAAATCCAAAGTGAAATGATTCCAGTAGCTGCTCCTTGGCATTTGGGGTGTCAGAAGATGTTTGTCTCCCCTGGAGGCCTGGGTTGAAATTGTGACCAAGCCTTCTTAGCTCAATTCATAATATCCGGGCTGGCATACCATGGTTTGTTTTTTGCATTTCAAGTTAGGATGGTAGACTAGGATTTGATCTCAGTTTGACATTAGGTGTGAACTAATCCCATGTCTTCCAAAGATCCTGTGCCCCTTACATGCAAAGCTTGATATATTTTGGCTCTCTAAAGGGAGATTGAGACTGCTCTTCCCATGTGAATAGTAGCACAGTTGGGTGGACTTACCTTAGAGTGAATTCCTAGGTCTGGTTCTTTTCAAGTTCCTTGGCCAAATGAAAGGGGATGGGTTGCATGTGGGAAGCTGCTCTAATTTTTCCAGATTATTGATAAATATATAAACATTAATCTCTTTGCTGCAAGAGAAAGCAAAGAGATAATGATTGGCTCAAGGTCACCCAAGCTTTGTGGTTGTGTGGGGATGTGAACCTATGTGCATCTCTTCCAGTCCTAGTGCAACACCCTAACCCAACACTGGCTGTCTCTAACAGGGGCAGGCTGTCTGTCGCCCTTCAGTTGTTGTTAGATTCCCATCAGCCCCAGCCAACATCTGGAGGGCCATAGATTTCCCTCTTCTGCTATATGGGAATCATGTGCCTTAAAATGATTGTCATTTTTGTGACATTCTGCTTTGAACTGAGACTGCGTCTTTCTTCCTTGGACTAATGTATCTTTCCCTGACATGTATTCAAGCCGTATTTCAGACTTGATGGAACAGCAAACCACTATGGAAGACAAGATGCGGGAAGACAGAGATTCCATGGTGGACAAAATGCACCGGCAGGTCACAGAAAGCACCTCATTAAAAATGGAGAATGAGAGGTTGAAGGTTGGTAGAGAAAAGTTCTCATCTTCACCATGCTGAGGCCTTCCAGATGTTTTGGGCTACAGTTCTCATCAGCCCAGCATAATGCAATCATGCTAGCTAGGACTGTTGAGAGTTGTAGTCCAAAACATATATACTTAGGGCACAATCTGGTCTAGTTCTGCTAGGGGCATCTCCACCATCCTTTTTAAATAACTTCCAATCATTTCAGTGGAGATAGTGCTGGAGATGTTCCACATGGGATTTGTTTGTTTGTTTATTTTATTGCATTTTAATCCCATCTTTTTTCCAAGGAGCTCAAGGTGGTGTACATGCTTCTCCCCATTCCTCCTCTTTTTAAAAAAATCATTTTTATTAATTTTCCAATAAAAAACATCCAATTAACATATCCAATCATAATCCAATTAAAATAAAAAACTAAAATTATAAAAAGACCAAATTATAATCCAAATTGTAAGTCTGGATCTCTGAAGCATATATCCAAATCTCAGTCCTGCCTCTCCTCATTGTTTCCATATTTTCCACAACCCGATTTTAACGCTTTAAAATTCTCCATCCCTGGCTCTGCGATTCTCAATTATGTCAAACATCATATATCCTTTCATCCATCAAATACAGCTTTATTTGTGTATATATATTTTTTCCAACTGTCTTTTTGCCAGTGCAGCTTCCCCTGACTCTATTCCAGTCTGGGCTGTTATCCAAGTCCCCCCCCCCCTTCCTCCTCTAATGCCCACAACAACCTGGTGATGTATGTTAGGCTGTGAGTGAGTGACTGGCCGAAGGTCACCTGGTGAGCTTCGTGGCCGAGTGGAGGATTCGAACCCTGGTCTCCCAGGTTCTCGTTGACAGTCTTAACTGCCTACGCCAGGAAGGAGATGCTTGTTGTATAGCCCAGCAGCCCTTTCTCTTCTGACTGAACACGTCTCTCTTCTGGTTCCTCCAGAATAGCATTATTCCGGTGGAGGAAAAGTTGAATAAAGCTCAGCAGGAAATAGCAATGCTCAAAGCATCCCTCAAGAACTACGAAGGGACAATTGAAAGTTACAAGAACCAGGTACTGCTCTCAAAAGACCTTTGGCACCCTCTTTCCTTCTTCGTCTTCTGGCAGGAATGCCCTGCTGAGCTCCAAAACCCTGGAACTTGGGGCGTGCGGCAGAGCTGCATTTTGGTTTTCAGGCATTCTGTGTCTTTTGTCTAAGCAAGTACTTGGCAATTTCTTTTCTAGATACTTGCAAGAGGTGGGGGTACCTGATAAGCACCTGCTCTTCTTCCTTTGTGTTACTGAAAGGATTTGAAGTTGGTCTGTTTCATTTTGTAGCCCTCTATTATTGGGGAACTGAATGTAGAAATAGTATATATCTTTTAAAAAAATACCTCTACCCAAGATGGATTACAATATTTCAAAATCTGAAAGGTGCCTAATTGTAGTAGTAATTAAAAAGCACTAAACAAATGCACATCAAATACAGAGAACAATTTGAGAGCTGCAGAACATAAAATAGGCTTAAACTGGTTAGTTTTCTCAAGCGTTTCCGAAGGCTTTTCTTACTTGAGCTTGAGCTTCTCTCACTCTGTTCTTAAAGGCAATGAAAGACTTGGGTGATGCAGATGCCTTGGCTTAGGCTAGGCTCATAAATGGCAACCTTTACCAAGACCCTTCAGAAGACTACAGCTTCCATCAGACCAAGGCAGCACAGCTGTATGATGCTGCAGATGATGGGAGTTGTAGTACAGAACATCTGGAGAGGACTCCAGCTTGGCAAAGGCCGATGAAGAGGAAAGCCAGCACCTGTATAAGAGCCTTGTCCACTAATTTAGAGTACCTTTTTATTATCTGAACTGTCACACTTGAAAGGGGTTTGTCTCACCTTGTAGTGAAATTGGGCTCTTTCAAAGTCTACGCATAAAGGGCTTGCATGCAGGAGTAGCTCACAGAAGAATGGTCCCTGTACATTTTGCCTCATATATAACAGGTTCTACAGATGCTAGAGATTTATTTTTTTAAAAGAAAAGCTAGGAATCTGGAGATTATGGCTCATTATGGATCCCCATGCCTCCAGAGCTTTTCTATTGCTGGGTGTGTGGTGTTGTGTTTTTTTAAAGAAACAATGGGAGGATTCATTATGTTGTATCTTGCCCAGTCAGAGTGATTCACAGAATGATGGCCATTGTGGCATTAACCTACAGTCATGAGCCCATCACTGTGGAATTATGAGGAGTAGAGCTGTAGGGTATGGATTTCAGAATTATATTCCACTCTTGGTATTTAGAGAGGAAATTGTCTCTAAAATATGAACCAAAGGCACCTGTATAGGTTAGAGCATGGGTAGGCAAACTAAGGCTTGGGGGCTGGATCCGGCCCAATCGCCTTCTCAATCTGGCCCACGGACGGTCTGGGAATCAGCGTGTTTTTACATGAGTAGAATGTGTCCTTTTATTTAAACTGCATCTCTGGGTTATTTGTGGGGAAATAGGAATTAGTTCATTCCCCCCCCCCCCCAAAAAAAAATATAGTCCGACCCACCACATGGTCTGAGGGACGGTGGACCGGCTCATGCCTGAAAAAAGTTGCTGACCCCTGGGTTAGAAGTAGAGTTTATGTGTTCTAACAAAAATGGAGAAAAGCAGTTCAGCAGGGCAGGTGGGTGTGTCTCCCTCTGAGTTCTGACTCCTTTAGGTGAGAACATAACTGCAATGACTTTTATTTTGAGGACTGATTAAAAAATGGAGTGTCTATGTGAACAAGACTTTTAATACTTTCTCTTCAGATTTCTCACAGTTGCATTCACTAAACCCAAACTGAAACATGATTAATTCAGTTCCATTTGATAAAGTAGCTGCTGTACATGTTTGCTTCTCCTTAAAAAAACAACAACCCACCAACATCTTTTCCCCAGGTGCTGAAAACGCGAATGGAAGCTGATGAGGTGACTGTGAAACTGGAGCTTTGTGAGAAAGAGAACAAATCATTGAAAGAAGAAATGACCAAGGAGATTGAAAATGTAAGTGTCTGGTCCAAGCTGTAGACGAGCCATAAAATCTGGAGGTTTCAAGTGTTGTAGTTCCTGCACAGGAACTTTTCGTGGGGTGTGGAAGAGAAGGAGCAGACTAGTACCTCACAAAAACATGAGAGGAAGACGGATTGTACATTTTGCATCGTATTTATCAGTTTCTACGAATGTTAGAAATTCAGCCTCATTGTTATCAGATCAATAGGTCTTGTGGCCAAGCATTCTCTGTTATCTTTAATTCCTGCTTTTTGCATTCTTGCTCACAGGCTCGTAAGCAGTTCCAGAGTCAGGTTGCTGAGCTAGAAAAGCTTCCCGAGATCTTGAAGCTCACAGAGTCTAAACTGGCTGAGTGTCAGGAACAGCTAAAGAGTTACGAGAAGAAAAATATGGACCTGTCAGCCATGATCACAGACCTCCGTCAGCGGGTAAGGGATTGGCAGAAGGTGCCCACACGAACCTCGAGCCGAGGACCAAAATGAGCCTCTAGCATCAAGAAAATGCAATCTTTGTCTCTTGTCTCGTCTCTTTTTGAAATGATTAAACATCTGCACTGCAGAATAAAAGGACGTGTGGCATGTCTTTGTTTTGCTATCTGCATTTAAGCCTTCTGCTTTTCTCAGTCCACCAACACCTTCTCTGGCAAGTTAACAAATGGGTAGCCTTGTGAAAGCATGCAGTTAAGATCCACCAGCCCCCTTCACGCTTTTACTTGTGGGTCCTTCCTTCATATGGCAAGGCATAGGTTTCCCAGGGTTCTGTGTAATTGCAGTTCAAGCTAGAAACTTAAATTCATCAACAAAAAGTCAAATTTCTAGTCCTCATGACGGAGAGGGATGAAAATTTGATTATGGTTAGGCAGGTCTCTAGGCACTGAGTGGGATGGAGGAATCAAAACTGCCAACCAGAATATTTGCACATGTTGGCTTGTTTTGCGTAATTTATTTATCTTGTCGCGGGGGGAGAGAGAAGGTGCAACATAGGCATGGAACACTTAAGTAATGCCATTGGGGATTTCTTGCTTTCATTTTAAAGAAGGAAATAGAAACTGTAGTTCTTAGCATGCACTCACTTCAGTTTCTCCTCCTGTGTTGTTCAGTCTTGAAATGTACACATCCTTGTAAGTGTGGTATGTGCTAAAATTGAAAGCAAAGACCTGGGCTGTGGGTGGTGGGGAGCTTCTGATATTCAGCTCATGGTGACTGGTTTAGTTACACTTGCTGAAGTTCCAGTCCTTTGGTCTTTCTGACAGTCAACACCTGGTTCCCTAAGCCTCTCTGTGTGACCTTTTTGGCCTTAATTTTACAGCTGCTGTACTGTGCTTCCAAACTGACCCAAATTCTTCATCTAAAGTCTTTCTTTTTGAGCCAGAAATCTTGATGCACAGTAAATCCATGTGAAATAAGCTCTTGGTGGATTAAATCAAATACTGTTTTTTTATATTAATTTGCATAGAATTTTTTTTTTTTTTTTTTTGCATGGGGTGCAAACCAGCATGAGTATAACGCGTGTCTGGCCACAAGCACGTGAGCCTTCATTCCTTGTCAAAGGCAACTTCATCTTTTTAGCAACCCATGGTTAATTTTGCTCGGCTCCATAAGCCTTTCCTTCTGTGTGTGTGTGTGTGTGTGTGTGTGTGTGAGAGAGAGAGAGAGAGAGAGAGAGAGAGAGAGAGAGTGAAAGAGTGAAAGAGAGAGAGATTGTGATTTTTCTCTCCTTCGGGGTTTGCCTCAATCTGTGTGTGCTTCACTTTGCTTGCAGGTGGCTGGCGGCTCATTTGTGCAGCGCTGAGAAGAAAAAAATTCATGCTGGATCAAAATAGGCTCAGAAAAGGCCACAAAAACAGGAACACGTACAGTGCTTAATGTGTGCAACAGGAGGTGCCTGGGCTCATCCCTGCCCTGCAGCCATCCCTCTGACCAGTGAGGTTGAGGGTGTATGTGAAGGGGGTCGCTGATTATAGTTGCTTAGTGGTGAGGCAAAGACCCCTACCTCAGAAGGCTGTTTTTAATTTTACTCCGTGTCCCACCTCCTGGTACTGAAATCAGATTCTGCTCCTGGGGTTTGGTCTTAAAGCACACAAGGCCATCACCTTGCTGAAGCTAAGTAGCTTTGGGTCTGCTCAGTACCTGGAAACCACATGTGGTTGACCTTCCATGGTGGAAGAAGAAAGGTGCAATGTAAACAGTAACATTAAATAAGCACCAAATGAGCCCTGGTCCACTTAAGCCCTGAACATGGTAGTTTTTTCTGCTCCTTTTCTCTCTTTGTCTGTCTTTGTGTCTCTCTTCATGACTCCATTCTTGTTTCTCTAGGAAATATAGAATGGGAGAAAATGGGCAGCACCTGTCACTGGTAACTTGGAAAGGCCTTGAAGACTTTACACATTTTCTACCTTTTCCCCTTCCTATTTTTTAAACCAATCTTTCATTTTCATATATTGAATTACTATGGTTTGATTTAATTGTATTGATTGTTTTGATGATTTATTGTTGCCGTTTGCTTTATTTATATGATGCTGTGCTTGATATTATAGTGATTGCAATGTCTGTTGCTTTGTTAATGCCCATGTTAGCTGCTTTGAGCTGAACGCTTGCTGCTGGAAAACCGGAATACAAATATTAAATCAAGTCAAATCAAATTTCAGATTGAGCTTCAGGGAGACAAGATGGAGATGATGAGAGAGAGGTATCAGTCTGCCCAAGAAGAGAACAAGCAGCTGATCCTCAAGCTTGAAGAGCTGGAGAGGTTAGGAGCAAGTGGGGAGGATGCCGCTTTGTCAAGGATGGGAGCAGAGTGATCAAAACTGAAAGGCTGTGTTGTGCAAATGTTTTCCTGTGCGTATAGATCAATCAGGTGCTGTATCAGTGTTGAGTATGGAACTCTGTAGTCTTGTCATGGATGCTGGGCTTGGTGGTGATGGTGGGGAAGACAGTTGTTCTGGTTGGCACACCATGCAAAGCCCAAACCATGGCTCAGCGTGAACATAGGGAGCTCAGGAGAGGAGTTCACAACTGAGTCACAGCAGAGTTTTGCTGCTGCCTGCAGTGATCTTTGTAAGTCTGGACCTGCGGTCAGACTTTAACTCTCTCCAGATTAACTGTTGGCGGTAGCTAGGGTTTGTCCTTTAGTTCCTGGCTTGTGGATTGCCTGGAAGAGCTAAGCTACAAGCCTGGGTTTCGGTGACATGCTAAGCCAAACTGTGGTTTCATTCAGTGTGATGCAGCAGCAAAACAACCAGGGAGAAACAAAATGGCTACAATCTCCTCTTCAGCATTTGCGCAAAGCCATGCTTTGGCTTACTGTGACATGTGAACCAGGCTCCTGGCAGTGTTGGGAAGGCAAAAAGTGAAGGCCTCTTGCATTCCAAATGTAGGTTAATAACGTATTGGCTTGAATATAAGCCTCACTTTCCCACCAGATTCCGACCGTGAAAAGTTAAAGTGCAGCTTAAATTTACGACCTTACAAGAATTGGCTTTTACGATATCGCTGCTGAAACATACATACGGTAAAATGGAATGCGTGTGAGTGCCTGTGGAATTTTAAGGGAGCGGCTTATATTCGGGTATTGTGTCCCGTCCCCCCCCGTCCCCCGAATTTTAAAGGTGCGGCTTATATTCGGGTGCGGCTTATGTTCAGCCCAATACGGTATACTTTTTTGTGGGGTGGGGGGGAGACTAGAGGGAGGAGTCAAGGAACTGTAGCAATTTATGTAGCTATATGCTTTCCACAACCTGCCTCTTAAGATAGCTGCTGGTTCCTAGGACCAGTCTCCTGTGGGCAGCACTAATGATCAGTTCTCATGAGAGCACGTTCAGCCAGACCTCTTCAGAAGCACTGGAACTAAAGCAGACACATAGAGCAAAACAAATGCAATGTTCTGTTGCAAACCGCTGTTGCTTGCTGATGGCTTCACATTAAGGAGGTCTGGAAATCAAATCTCCAGCTAAAAAATCATGGTAGCTGGGAAAGATGGGGAAGGAAATCCCTTTTCCCACCTAAGGCTTTGGAGAACTGCAGGCGGGCAGTGCTGGCAGCTGATGCTAGGCAGAAATGATGGTCTGACTTGGTGCTTAGCACATTCCTTTGCAATATAAGTGTTGTCAATAGGCCTGTGTTTGCTTTTCACTAGAGCTGTGGCTTGATCAGACATTGTATTCAAACAAGTTGTTGTTGTTGTTGTTTCCAGAAAATTGCTTATCGGCAAAGCAGCAATGACTGTGCTGGCCACCTGCAGTTCCTATGCGGGATGGGGAGCCAACATCATACCCTTCAAATGTTGCTGGACTCCAGTTGCCATCAACCTTTGGCCATACTGGATGAGACTCAAGAGTCCACCAGCCCCTGGATGGCATTACATTGGCTATACAGCACACACACACACACACACACACACACACACACACACAATGGTACCCCCAGTTGCAGACGGGATCCGTTCTGGAGCTCCGTTCAGATTCTGAGGTTTCTGCAACTGCAAGGACCACTTCTGCACATGCACACACAGCAGTACTGTACTTCTGTGCGTGTGCACGCAGCAAAACCTGGAAAAATACTTCCGGGTTTGCCACATACGTATCCCAAAGGATACGTAACCAGAGGTGAAAGTAAGTAGAGGTACCACTGTATAAAGTATCACCTATCAAAACTTATTTACAGGCACATCTAGTCTATTTAAATGTTGAGCCCTGTTTTGATTGGCATATACCCATGAATCTTCCTTGTGGTTGCAATTCAGGAAGCTTGAAGCAGCAAGCGGTCAGAATATAGAATTTATCCAGGTCATAGCGAAAAGGGAGGAGTCGATTCATCAGGCCCAGCTGCGACTAGAGGAGAAGACCCGGGAATGTGGCGCCTTGGCTCGCCAGCTGGAGATAGCAATTGGCGATGCCAAGAGGCAGGTTGGTACCTCCCACTGGGCAATGAGTCTGAAGGAGCATTGCATTGGGAGCGGAATTCTCTTCCCTGAAGTGATCAGTGAGAAGATGCTTTAGTACAAGCGGTGGGGGATCTCAACCCTGGATCCCAAACGTGGTCCTTGGGACTCTCTATGCTTCTTCCAACCCTGCTCTGAGTGTCCTCCTTGCATGGTTTTGCTCAGCAGTTCCTTGCAGGAATGTGTCCTTGAACTGTGGCAATGCCTCACTTACCTGGAAGGAGGCAGAGGTGTCTGTGGCTGGAAATGTAGCCCACTGTACAAAAGTCCCCTCCACATGCCTTGGCCATCACACCCATGAGGTGAGGCAGCAAGATTCGCAGGGGCAGCGGATTCAGCCTTCAGATAATGTGTCTCCTGTTGCCGCAGCAGCAGCTTCCTGGTGAGCAGGAGGCACTGCTAGTCACCTGCCCCTAGGGAGCAAATGGCAGGGCTGCCCTCTGGGGTCTCCTGGGGTCTTCACCCACCCAGCGTGATACAGAACAGGCACCCACCCAACCAATGTAGATCTTTATTCTCCCCAACCCCCTTCTTAATATAGATCTTCACTCGCCCTTTATTCCCCGGTGGTGGGAGAGGAGCACCATTTTGTGGTTCGCCTATGTGCCAAATGTCTTGAGCCAGCCCTGCCACAGCTTTCCCCAAGGCTGCCCACCAGGGAATTGGGTTGAAAAGAGCCCTTCCCTATTGCCCTAGTAGGAGATCATGTATATTTGATACACTTCCATCCCATCCTACTTTTGAGGAGCTCTTGAGAGCAGCCCATGCAAGGAGCCTCTTTTCTCCTTATAACAGCTCTGGAAGATGTGCTCAGCTTGAGAGAGAGCACTCAATTAAATTGTGGGTGGATAGGGTCCCAGCTCTCTCCACTGTAAGCAAAACACTTAGCCATTACATATCCTGCTGGCTCCCAGGAAGTTTCCTGTCTCTGTGTTTGTTTGTTTGTGATTTGATTTTCTTTCTTCTTAGTCTTTCATATTAAAAGTGTGAGCTTGGTGGGGAAGAGCGGGGAAGTATAAATGCAAAGATAATAATGTATTGGGCCACTTGGAACTGTCTCTTGATATTTAAAGTAAAATCAATGCTCCCTCCCCGCAATACACACATACACACATTTTACTTCTCCAAGTTCTTTACACCTGTTACTTTACTTGCAAACTCTTGAGAGGTGGGCATGTATTTTGAAGAACATGTTTGTGTGTGTGAAGAACGTGTGTTGGCTGTAAAGCAACTCTAGTCGCGGGGGGTGGGGCGGTGAGGACAAAAATTTCCCTCCAATCTTGTTGCTCTTTCCCCTGCTAACATTGCATATGTAGATTAACCCTGTTTCTAATATAACAGGAAAGCGAATGCTACATTTTTTAAATGTTTCCTGGCTTTGGAAGCTTTGGAAAATTGGAGTCAAGCCACTCTCTTTCCCCAAAGGTTCTTGAGGGATGCTTTTTTTTGTTTTTTTGCTAAAGCCCAAAACATTGGTTTGTCTTGTTTCTATTGCCTTGCCTGCAAAAGCTGGAACAAACAAGGGAACGAGCAGCAGCAAGGGAGAGAACAGCCCAGTCCAAGATGCTAGATTTGGAAACTCAACTGAGCAGGACAAAGACGGAACTGAATCAGCTGCGGCGGAGCAAAGATGATGTGAGTGGCTTTCTGCAGCAGCACAGCTCTCTTAACTCTCTTAAGGACTTTTAGATCCATCCCATCTTGTGTTTTGATAGGGAGGCAAAGAAGTAGATGAGTGTGGGTTGGTTGGTTGGTTGGTTTTTGGGATTTTTCTAATAGGATGGAGGACAGGGAACTGATTGGGAGCATAGAAGATATGCTAAATTGGTTAGCAGGCTGGAATTTCTGCTTGGCATGGTGAACTGCTACTTGCTTATTTGAAGAATCCATAATGGATCTGGTGTAGAAATGGGTTGAGTGTGGCAGTGATTTCCCCCGCTTCAACCATTTTGTTCGTCCTCATGCAGGCAGAGTGTCGGTATGAAAGCCGCCTCCATGACCTGAAGGATCGTCTTGAACAGTCTGAGAGCACCAACCGAAGCATGCAAAGCTACGTGCAGCTCCTCAAGTCCTCTTATGCCAATGTCTTTGGAGACAGTGCCTTATCTTCCTCCCCGATTCGTCCTCGATCTCCACTGTGATCAAACCTTGTTCCTTAACTTCCAGGACCCTCTTGCTACAGGCTCGGCTGGGTGGACCTATTTCAAAGCCATATCTGATTTTGGAACTTAAGTAGCTCAGGGTCTTCATCATATTGTTGGGGTGGGAGATTCATCCTGCCTTTATGTCGGTGATATGGTGGCATTAAGGGCTGCATTGTGTATCATAAGCCATGTTAAAGCGGGCCAACAAGGGGCACATTTACCACCCCTTCTTGTCTTTTAGTGCCTTACAGAGGTTTTGAAAGTAACCTGCAGTGTTTTAATCATCTTTTAATTTTATTAATGTTTTATGTATGATTTTCTCACTATGCCATGAGTTTCAAATATCATGTTTGTTGAATGCAGAACAAAATATTTAGGTTTTTTTTATATAATAATAAAAATTGTCATCTGAAAAATTGTGAACCCATGAAAGGTTGTGTCTGCTAGCAGCATGCCTTTGGCCAGACATAGCTGGTGTGAAAACCATTCCTTTTTCTTTTAATTACATTATTCCAGTTTTTCTAGGGGTGAGTATCAGTTTAAAGGTGTGATTTCAGTAATTGTGTATGTGAAGGAGAAAAAGCACCCGCCCTGCTTTTTAAAGAAAGGTGTTTCATACTATCTGTACTCTTGTAAAGGTTCCTGGGATCCATTTTTCCAGAGCTGCATATCTCTGATCACTTGTGATTTTCATGTGTGACTTTTGTGTTGAGCAGTAATGTTTTGTTTGTAAAATATCCCATGATTTTTTGTTTTCAATCTCTATGTGTCTCTGTTAGTTTTAGCTTCCGTAAGTGATGAATAACATCTCTGTTCCTGCTTCCGTGCTGCACATACTGATACTCACTACATTGGGGCATGAGCAGGGGTCAGCAAGGTTTGTCTTGCCTGGGCCAGATCGGTCCTGCGGAGATCCCTCCATGGGCTGGAGCACGCGCACATCCCCACTATTTTCTGCTTCTGCACAGACGCGATTTTTGGCGCTGCGGAAGCGAGTCCCCGCACCACGCTGATTTAGCGCAGCGTGTGAGTGGGCAGCTCGGTTCGGGGGTGGCTCATGGGCCGGTCAAATGACCTCCGCGGGCCACTACCGGCCCATGGGCCTTAGGTTGCTGACCCCTGGGCATGAGCTTGCTAGGCTACTCATGAGTGAGTTTCTGTAAAACCGCATTGCTAATTCAAATTGAGGAGCCTTGTCCTCTTCAGCATCTGGGGATCCTCCATCCAAGGGTGTGAATTATTTCCAACCTTAGGCAAGAGTGTCAGCCTCTTGTTGGGAGCTGGATGGGCTTCAAGTCTTAGCACCAACTACCCCCTTGGAAAACGACTGTTTTCTGTCTTCCTGCCCTCCAGAAATGAAACCAAGCTGACTGGTCAAACTGTCCAGAATTCAAGAGAGGAGGGTAGAGTCTTTCATTTTGATGAACAGGTCTATGTTTTGTTGTTGTTTTATAACTTTATAATATATGCATATACAATATATACTGTATTTTTCGCCCTATAGGACGCACCGCCCCATAAGGCGCACCTAGTTTGTTGGGGGGGAAATAAAGGGGGGGGAAATTATTTCCCCCCCGGGCACGGGGCTGGGGCGGGGGAAGCCCGAGCTTCCCCTGACCCCAGCCCACAGAATAGGCAACTCTTCGCAAGCTGTGGGAGCCCAGCACAGGGCTCCCGCGCCTTGCGGTGATCTGCGCGAAGCCTGGAGAGCGAGAGGGGTCGGTGCGCACCGACCCCTCTCACTCTCCAGGCTTCAGCGAAAGCCTGCATTCGCCCCATAGGACGCACACACATTTCCCTTCATTTTTGGAGGGGAAAAGTGCGTCTATGGAAGCAACATCTGATACATAAAAGCCCATATAAAAGGAATCACAAGACAGAGAAGCTAGTAGGAGAAAACGTCAATCTCCTAGGACATTCAATACATGATCTCAAAGCAGCTGTCTTATTACAAAAGAATTTCAGAAACAGACTTGAGAAGTTGCTGAATTACAACTTATTACTAAACTGAAAACTATGGAGAGACCTGGTCTGAATAGAGAGATTGGATTCCTGTCTCATTACATATGCTAATCATCTGCATACTATCCCTTGCTTTTTCTTGTAGGACTAATTGCAGACCTTAACAGTCGTCAACAGGTTTACCATACCCAATGAGTGAATCACCCATCTCCCATTACCCCCCTGAGAAAAACCCCACCCCACCCTCCCACTATATAATGGTCTAGTGACTTCTGTTTCAGTGTATCTGAAGAAGTGTGCATGCACATGAAAGCTTAGACCCAGAACAAACTTAGTTGGTCTCTAAGGTGCTACTGGACAATTTTTTTATTTATATAAAAGCCCACATACAGATTGTTACAATAAAAATATCACAGCACCAGCCCTTAATAGCCAGTGCCCCTCATAGAGAAGAAAGTTCCAAAGGGCTGTTTGCACCAAACTGCTGATTCTGTAGTTTCACCCTGTCTGTACTTACCGTATTGGCCTAAGTATAAGCCTCACTTTTTTCCCCACATTCCGAACATTAAAAGTTAAAAGTGCGGCTTAAATTTGCGACCTTACAAAAATTGGCTTTTATGGCATCGCTGCTGAAACACACACATGGCAAATTGGTGCGGCTTATATTGGGGCCAATATGGTAATCATAGAACACGTAAAAAGAATAAAGGGAAATCTTTTCCATAGTGGAATACAAAGTTCATATTTATACCAAACATACCATTCATGAATGTTGCCAAATAAACCCCTATTTAGTGGGAATGTTCCATCCATGAGATTCTTTGGTCATATAAATCACAAACAGCCCCCAAGCAGTAGCAAAGTCAGAGAGTTCTGCACCACCCCTAGCAGAATGTATTGTATGAGTCAGGTTTTTTTGAAATGCCAACAAACACAACTATTTTAAACCATAGATCCATAGACTAACAAGATGCATCATTTCACACAAGATGAGCAGCAACCAACAGATATATGATTAATTGTTGAGAAGTATGGTCAGCATTGGACACATCATGAATGGATATGAGACATAGCTTAGTGTCCAAAGTGAATCATTTCCCTAGGGAGCTCCCTCAGGGATTTCAGGGATGGATTGAAAACTGATAATTTTTTATGTGGAACTGGGAAAACTTTTCTTCTGTGGGGAGGAGTGAAACAGCTCGCTCTGTGCTGAGAATCCACGTTCTGTTTTTTCCTACCATTGCCTTTGATTTGTATTATGCCTATCCCAAAACACTAAGTTTCTGCTTGTAGAGTAACCACATCGCAATTGCTCAGAAGGGATGGCCATGCCTACAAACAGCATCCATCTCTGATAGACACTGTCAAATCCCTGGGTCTATATGCATGCGGTTTGGCAGGTTTACAGCAGCAGCTATGCTTGCATATTTTATCTACTTCCATTAAAAGGAAAACAATTATAGCCATTTTTATTTCACCTTATAGTCACTGAGTTGGTGGAGGGGCGTATCTAACTCAGTTTTACATAATGTCTGTGCAAAGCTTACCATTATCTATGGGCCTGGGTGATCTATTGCCTGAAACTGGTTTAAAATTAAAATCTTGAGAGTGATTTCAGAATTCTCAGTCAAGTGATGTGTCACGAATCCCTGGCCCTGCTCACAGCCAGCATCGTGCACTTCAATCAGGCCACCCCACTCCCTCCCTCCCTCCCTTTGCAGCCCAGCTGCTGGCCTTAGGAGTGGTGCTTGCTTGCCTGCCAGCCACCCAGCACCTTCATTTCTTTCCCTGGACATGTATGTGAGCGCTGGCAGGCTGCCTGCTTCCTCCGAGTGGAACGGTGGCTTCTGGTAGCTGCTGCTTGTATGGCAAGACTACTGCCGGAATGCGCCACTGCTGGCTGTTCCAGGAAGCCCGGGTCAGCGCTGACCGCCTGGCCTCACCAGGATTAGGCAGAAGCTGTGTAAAAGGTAAAGGGACCCCTGACCATCAGGTCCAGTCGTGGCCGACTCTGGTTGCGGTGCTCATCTCGCTTTATTGGCCGAGGGAGCTGGCGTGCAGCTTCCGGGTCATGTGGCCAGCAGGACTAAGCCGCTTCTGGCAAACCAGAGCAGCACACGGAAACGCCGTTTACCTTCCCGCCGGAGCGGTACCTATTTATCTACTTGCACTGGCGTGCTTTCAAACTGCTAGGTGGGCAGGAGCAGGGACCGAGCAACAGGAGCTCAGCCCATTGCTCTGTATGGTGAGGTTAATCATCTCTGTGGCTGGCAATTGCTTTCTTCCTCCACACCTCTTTTCCGACATCGTAATACACTGCCATATTGAGAAGTCACAATGTTGGAAAGCAGATATTGCCCAGCCCTCGTGATCTCTTGCCATCTTAAAGCATGCTGTCCTTTCACTTAGTGCACTGGCAAGAAAGGAGTCCACTGGCACAGGCTGCGATTTGAATGGTCCTGGGGGGATTCTTTAAAATCCTCACATGAGTAGAGTCACCATGCTCCGAAGCTCAAATTCAGTATTTATGAAGCATACCAAGTGCTACTCTAATTATCTCGCTCTTGCTTTTAACACTGGAATGTCCCTGGGACACTGACTTCAAAGTGCGGCAGCTCTGCTACTCAGGGTGAAAACATTTTTATTTATTTATTTATTTATTTATTATTAAGGATTTTCTTGTTTTACAGAAGTAAGTGTAATGCCTCGTTGTCCCCCCGCCCCATGTAACATTTTTACAAATCCGTTTCATTTGTTGAGGCATTAGGGGGAGAAGAAAAAAAGGAAAAAAGAAAGGGGGGTGGAGAGAGGGAAGATGGATGGGGGTGGGGTCGGGTGGCGGTGTTTCTATTATGTTTAATGTATGTAGAGTTTGGTGTCAGCGTTGCTTGTGTTGTTCACTTGTGTTGGGTGAAAACATTATTAAAAATGAGAACATCTGTAATTTAGTATGTACAGCATACTAACATTGATGGCCACCCTTGATACCTTCATATTCATATCAATTTCTTTACTGTCCTGATTTGATAGCTGTAAGATGTAGTTTACTCTTTATATATCTCTCTTCATTATATATAACCCCACTGCTAGAAGAGCACCTTTTATACTTGATTTACAATACTGTCTTACTCTGTATATATTTATGTTTTTATTTTAATTTTATTCATTGCTAGATGGACAAATTATATTTAAAACTTAAAATTTACAAGGTAAAGCAACTGGCAAGTTCAACTGTAAACATTTATATGTTTAGAGAATTTTAATTTAATTAGAGTAATTCAGACTATCATGAACTCTCACTGTGGAAGCAGTGAGGTTGCTCTAGAATAACCTTACTCTTATTCCTGGAAATATGTTGGGGGGAAAGTAAACAATATTGTCATCAACAGCCTATGACTCATCTTAGTCAATAGATCGAACTTATAGGTCCCTCAGTAATGCCATGGATAGTGTAATAAACAGAAATCTGCCCTTATTCCCTTATGGAGGACACAAGAGCCCTTATAGAGTCCTTTGTAGGTTTTCCATCGGTCGGAGAAAAGAACAGAGGCCAACCAGAGAATATTGAGAAGCAAAGCAGCTCGTAAGCCTGATCTTTATTGAACTGTTGCAACAGGGTGCTCCCCTCACACACAGGAAAGGAGGAGAACCCAGAACCCAGATGTGCCCATCCTTATATAGACATTTTAACTAGCCTGCCCTGGAGTCCAAGACCACCCCCATAAACATCATACATACATCACAGAAAGGGGTGTAGCACAAGACCACCCCCCAGACAAATACCTACATCACAGAAAGGGCGGTCTACAGCAGAAATCTGAGTGCGTTATCTCCTGTCATTGTTTATCTCCTGTCTGGCAGATTACCTGTTAATGCTTACTTGATTGGATACCCTAGGGAGCCTGGCCAGTCTTTTGTAGTGACAAATAGTTCCTGAGCCAGGTCACAGGCTCACCCTATTCATACACAGATATACCCTTAAGACAGGTTTTGTGAATGAAAAGACAATGGGGAGGCTTTTCCATTTTCCTTTGACCTTGCAGAGAAAACATTTGGTCAGTTTGGGAGCCAGCTTGCTTTTTCATTGCCCCTCTTATGGGCCGTTGTTCTTCAGTTGTTGGCAATGGAGGCATCGTCCAGAGAATTCCTTTTGTATCTCTTTTGTATGGTGGAGAGGCTGGAGGTCTTACTTGCATGGGCTGGATGATGTCTGGGAACCTGGAGGTATGAGCTGGCAAAGCTGGCAAGTGTTACTGGAAAAAGCCGATGGCTCCCTTGGACAAAAACAAAGACACCAACCAGGATAACGTGGAGCAAAACAGCAGCCTGTAGGCTTGGCCTTTATTGAACTGTTGCAACAGGGTGTTCCCCTCACTTGCAGGAGAGAGGAAAGACCCAGAAAGATGGTGTGCAAGACCTTATAAAAACTTTTGAAATTCCCATCCTCTAGGTCAAGCCCACCCCAGAAACATCATGCATACATTACAGAAAGGAGGGGTTGACATCATGCATACATTACAGAAAGGAGGGGTTGAGGGAGGAGTTGTGGTGGTAACCTGAGTGTCCTGTCACCTGGCTGGTTCCTCCTTTCCCTCTCCCCATGAGTCACTTCCAGGAGACAAAGGGGAGTTGGCAGTTTCCTGCCCCCAGAGGGAAGATCTGATCATTGTCCTTTGTTTCAGTCCATGCTGAATCCACTCCCATATGCAAGTTCTTTGTGATCTTGATGGTCTTCTGTCTAGGACCATCAGGGTTGGCATAGCAACTGGGCAGGGCTCCTGTGGATGTGCTGGGATGGTGAAGGGATTATGGCTGACCAGAACCACGCCACCCCCCTTTGATAGTCCTTGTCATATGGAGTAAAATAAACATGGAACAGTGCAAATCCGATGTATGGTTGATTTTTCTATGAATTTATAACAGAAGTGTGGCATATGTAGTGTGTGAGTGTGAGTGTGTGAAGTTTGTACAAACTGAATGATTGGGGTGGGGGGTTCCTGCTACACAAGACAGAGTGTACTCTCCCAGTAATGCTGGGCACTGGTCTCCACCAGCTGGGGAGGGAGAGCTGAGAGGTGGGTGGCCATCCACGTGAATGTGAGCCTGATGGCTTTGGCAATGGTTCTGGATCCACATGGGTTGGCAGGGTGTCAGTCTCCCCACTGAAAGGGAAAGTTTATGGGGTGTGAGGCTACTCAACAGCCCAGGTCCTCGTGTGGCCAGAAAGGAAGGGAATCCCAGTCACAAACCAGAGCAAAACAGCGGTCAGTAGACAAAGATCTTTATTGTTGCGCAACAGGTTCCCACAGGAGCGAGAACCCTGAGTATGGGGTGACATTGACTTTTAAAACTTCCCACAATATCCCAGAATACAGTTTGTACAGCATCATTGACACGTCATCTTTACATCACTGACATGTCATGAAAGGGGAGGGTTACAGAGGGGTTTACAAATTAGCATAGGCAAAACATGTCCAGGTACAAGATTGACAAAGGCAAACATGTCTCAACTCCTCTTAAGTACACACCATCCAAAGGTACGATATAAATCCCTTTGCGCACCCAGGCCCTGGGGCAATTTCGATGGTCTGTTCTGGGTTTCTTTAGTCAGCTAACTGCTCAGCAATTGACACTCTGGACACTTCCCTGGGGTGGGGGTGGGGGTGTACGTGCCCCCACGCTTGCAGGATTATGGCAGGAGGTGGTGGGGAAGGAAGTCCTTTTTCTTAAGGCCAAAATGGTGTTGGAATGAAGAGAATTGGTCAAACTACTTATTTTATATGATTTTCTGAAGGTTTAAGGTTTTTCTAAGCTGACAGTCTATGGGCGAGGGGTTTTGACACATTTTTTTGCAACAAAGTATCAACTGAGCAATCGAAGCCTAGCTAATGACGTTTTAATAGACTGAATCCATTGTTCTCCCAGCGGCCGCTCAGACAAGCGCGCAAAAGTTCGAGTTGAGTTACCTTGCAGAGGGGAAAGGCAGCTTGAATGGGAAGAGATTCTGTCCACTAGAGGCCGCTATCCGCTGAACGCTATTGGCTAGCTGTCAAAATCCAACGCTTTTGATTGGTCTAGACGCAGTAGTATGCAAATACAGAGTTCATTCACAAGTCCTTGTGCATATTGATAAGGGGTTTCAAAAACAGAAAGGAAACCGAGTCTTTATTAATGAAATATAAGTGGTGCTTGGTGCAACAGTGTATGGAAAGGGTTTTCTTGAGCTCATCGTCTCGCGCCCTAAGTATGGGGGGGGGGGAGCGTTTCTGGGATAGGCGAGACCCAACCCACAACGCAACTGGGCTCTCGCTTATGGGCCCCCCCACGGAAATTCCGCAAAGGCTCGAAGTGGGGTGCTGGCCTCAGCAGGGAGTGGGGCTGGGAAGGGGGCACCAGCTTAGGTCGATAGGACCTGGGCATGTTCTTGACAGGCCTTTCTTCAAGGATGATTCTATTCCCTCTAATTATATTATTATTATTATTATTATTATTATACCCCGCCCATCTGGCTGGGTTCCCCCAGCCACTCTGGGCGGCTTCCAACACACGCAAAAATAATAATAAAACATCAAACATTAATAGTAACAATCAGATCCTACATGAAAAGTCACAATAACTTTAATATAAACAACTTATACCAAATAAAGCAGTATGCAATAATGCATTAGAATCCAATAGCAAACACTAAAATTAAACATCGGCAGGTAACAATTAAACAGTTTACACTTATCAATTACAATGAAGAATTACTCATCTATAATCGACAAAAATAGCAGCAAACCACAATACCTAAAATACCACAAATCATACAAAACAATGTAAAAGGATTAAATTAAGAAACAAGGACACACAACTTATAATTATTATAATAATTATCATTTTTAAATGGCCACTGGTCCCAACACCTCCTGGCAAATAGAAGTGGAAGAAACGGAGGCAGTGAGAGAGCGATGAAGTCTCTTGGCTGTTATATCTTTTCCTTCCACTAGTGGCCACTGTGTCGCTCTTCATACTATTCTTGAGTACGGTACGTATTATGTCTCTTGGCTGTTATGACTTCTTCTTCCACTAGTGTCCGCTGTGTAGCTCTTCCTAAGGTTCTTGACTACAGTGGTACCTCAGGTTACATACGCTTCAGGTTACAGACTCTGCTAACCCAGAAAAATTACCTCGGGTTAAGAACTTTGCTTCAGGATGAGAACAGAAATTGTGCAGCGGTGGAGCAGCAGGAGGAGCGGGAGGCCCCATTAGCTAAAGTGGTGCTTCAGGTTAAGAACAGTTTCAGGTTAAGAACGGACCTCCAGAACGAATTAAGTTCTTAACCTGAGGTACCACTGTATTATGTCTCTTAGCTGCTATGTCTTTTTCTTCCACTAGTGGCCGAGGAATGATGATCTTTGTTGCTGTTGTAATCCCTATCTCAACAAATTATAGAAACAGGTGAGTTTAGTCGGGGCCTGTGAGTTTGCTAGGTGTCCAGATTAACCCGGTCAAATTTGGGGGATGCCAACCAGGGGAAGAGCATATGGTAGAGCTTGTTGCAACTCAGACTTGTCATAACGTCAGTTACTCTTCCCCAACGGACGTTTTTTCTATCCTGGCACCTTCAGTTCTGGCCAGCTGCCTTTTGCATCATAACATTCTCTGGCCAGTTTGAATCTTGGAGGTCACCGTGGTGACAGCAGGAAACAGGCTCATATGACGCCAGTTCCAGGGGCTCCCAGGATGGGATGCTGCCCTGAAGTAACACTGAGCGCGGGTGCGTTTGAGGACCACAGGGTGGGGGGTGGGAATCACCCTCATGTTTACCATGAAAAGAAGGGGAATAGCAGAGCATCTTGACAGACAGAATCTGTTATGGCAACAGCAGCAGGGCAGGGCTATTCATCCATGGAAGAGACAAGGAGAGGGAGAAGATGGGGGGAAGATTCTTCCCCATGGGATCAACCGGACACTAGGGCATAATCCAATAGCAGGAGGACCTCCCACAAGCCACTGTTGTATCTATACTGTGTACCTCTTCCTCTTCCCTGGAAGGGTCAGGATGGGGAGGTGGTCTACACCATTCCTCCTCCTGACACCTGGAAAAGGTTGAGAAAGGAACCACCAAAATTATCAAGGGTTCAGAGTAACTCCCTTATATGGAAATATTGGGATCTTTTAGGTTAGAAGGAAGGATGCTCTCTGTCAGCCCTGGTAGTTGTATTAATTCTAGAACCATTAGCAATCAAGTTATGCAATGCCCTCTCTGGTACAGGAGTGGTTGCAAACGAAAATGAACAGAGGACCTTGGAACTTATCCCCGAGGGTTTAAGAAAAAGCCTGTCTGCCCGCCCTTGGGAAGAAAGATAGGGGAGACCCAACCTGATCCACCAGCTTTGCCCCCCCCCCAAGTTGCCAGACATCCAGCCCTCTGAAGTGAAATCTCCAGCCCTAGCCCATCAGGGGATTAAATACATGTGGAGAATCCAGGGAAAATGAAAACATTGAGTCAGGGGATGAGAGGCTCCCTCCATTGACAAAGGTGAGTCTGTGCCGGCTCAGTAAACCTCTCAGCTTTGACACAGAGGGAAGGGTCTTGCCCAGCTAATGATTCTCTGATCCTAGGAGACTCAAACGATTGGTCCATCTATTGCAGTACCGTCTACTACATTGATTGGCAGCAGGTCTCCAGAGCTTTAGGCAGGGAATGTTCCCAGCCCTGCCTAGTGATGCTCTCTCTTGAACCCATGACCTTCTGCATGCAAAGCAGGTGTTCTGTCTCTGGATTACGGCCTTTCCCTGGAATGCTTTCCCCAGAGTGGTTTTCCTGATGCTTCTGCTGCTGCCCACCTTGGTGCTTGGCAAACGTGCTGTTGTACTCCTGCTGAAACCTTTTAAAAGGCACTGTAAAATGAAAGCATCTTGGCTTGCTCTGCCATTGACTCTGAGCTGCATTTTAAATTTGTTATTCCTTGCAAATTCAGGCTTAAATGGCTTGCCTTGCATACTGTGCATTAGCTGTTTGAATTGCATTTGTGCTCAAGATACCAGGATACAACCTCAACTCTGTTAATGATGATAAAGTCAGGGCCCTCAGGTGGCAGTGGTGTGGGGGTGAAACCCCCCACCTAATATATACTTTCCACCATTTGGGGCATCCATGCTTTTTTCTCATTTCTTTGCAGCGCACAAATGGACATGCCCACCTCAACCCCTTGGTCGGCGCCCATCATCTGAGAAGGAACAGTCAGGAAGATGGTCTTGAACAACTACAACAAGCAGCAGAAAACCAAGGTGTTATCCCCCCGAGTACTGCTGGGATTATAAAATTGGCATTCCCAATTTTATAAGCGAGATAAGAAATGTCAAGTTATCCTGGATGCCAAAAGAATATGAAAATAACTTATGACTCCATGGCCCTATTGAAAATCACACCGGCAACTAAACTGATCGCAGAACTGTTTGATCATTTAAGCACAGACTCTTGTTCTTTGCGGGAAGGAGAGCAAACTTTACCAACCCTTTACCCCTCACTGACAAAATGTTTCCTGTGGTGTTGCATAGCTGTGCCGGAGATTTTTTTAAGAAGCAAGTTCTTTCCGTGTGCACCTAGAAAGAGACATCCTTCCCTCTGTGTCAAAGCTGAGAGGTTTCCTGGAGGTGTTACTTCAGAGGGCTGGGTGTCTGGCAATATGGAGGGCAAAGGTGGCGGGTCAGGTAGGGTGGAACCCCTGCCACCAATGCTGGGCAGGGGTCTCCAGTGGGTGGGGAGGGAAAGGTGAGAGAGGGGTGCCCACCCATATGGATGCGAGTCAGATGTTAATGGCTTGGGGTAATCCACATGGGTGAGCAGGGAGAGGGGTGCCAGCCTCTGCCCAAATTGGGCTTATGGCTTCGGGAAGGAGGGGGGCTGGGGAGGGGGCATCAGCCGAAAGAAGCTTTTGGAGTGTTTTTTAGGCCTTTCCTCCAGGGTTATTTTGTTCCCTCGGATGCCCCCTTTCTCCACTTTTGGGGCTTCCTTCTTGGGCTTCTTTGGGGGTTCTCTTTTTGGGGGTTAGGTATGCCTATCCCTTTTATGGCCAGGTCTCCCCTATCTTGCTTCCCACGGGTGGGTGGGCTTTGTTGGATTCCTTTAGGGATAGGTTCCAGGGTCTTCCTCCATCTCAGGCGTTCACCCAAGTCTGGAAGAAAAGAAATGGAGGTACAATCATTGTTTTCAATGCAACTAGTTTGTCCATAATGGAGAGTCTTCATTTATTCCAACGTATTATATCCATATTTAGAGCTTTCCAAACCGTACTATAATTAAACTGATACAACTTGTTTGTTCAAGTTTTGGGTAATTTGCACCCCCAGATATCTAAAACTTTTCCTAGTTATTGCAATCTTCAACATTGCTGTAAAAGTCTACTGCATATGAATGGGGTGGTGTATGAAAAAGCATTACCTCTGCTTTCTTAAAAGTATCTTGCAATCCTGAGACCCTGGAGAACTGTTCCAACTCTGTACATAGTATTTTTCCTGCTGTGATAGGGTTAGAGGTGCATAAAATTATATCCTCTGCAAAGAGGCCTGAATTTTGTTCATTTCTGTTTGCAAGCACTCCTGTACGAGTAGGTCCCAGAGTGGGTTGGGGTTCTACCTGCGGGAAGACCAGAATCATTTCCTTGTTTGTGGCTGATAGGATAGGGACAGGGCTCCCAGTCTGGACAGTGGGGATCCTCTGTTCCTGTGGAATGGGGGCTAAGGTTCCGCAATGGTAGAGGCCCACCCTGGCTAAAGATTTAGGCACCGGCTAAATCTTATACCTGTTAAGCTCACCTGTTTCTACAATTCGGTGAGATAGGGGTTACAACAGCAACAAAGATCATCATTCATCTAAAGAACAATTGCTATTTCAGGCTCTCACACCAGAGCGGAATCTAACCAAACTGCTTTTGGTTCTGGATCAATGTGGATCATTTATAGATATTTGCATATTTATCTACTGCTTTTCCTCCCAAACTGATGTTTTGTGTTGTTGCTCCCTATAAACTCTTGGTTCATAAGCTGCTTTGGACAAATGCAATGTACATTGTACTACAAAATGCAATGCAGATGGGCTGTAGCACCAAAAATAAATATGTGATTTTGAAGGAGCCTCAGAATTTATCGGCACATCAAGTGAAAGATAAATTCAAGACTAAGTCTCACTGAAGGCCATTGAATGGGCCTTAGTCATGGCTTATCTAAGCCCCATGGGGGTACTGGGGCCTTGACTAACTGGGGTGGCTTTTTCAGAGAATCTGCCTTTCTCCCTTCTCTCTTGCTGTCTATCACAGCATCCACTTGCATGTATGTTACTAAGTTGTCCAAAGATTTCATCCATTCCCCGGCTATAAATCCTTAACTTCTCAGCTGACTTCTCTGTCTGCTTCATGGGACAATGAAGCAGATCAGGAGAGGATCTAGATGGCACAATTTCCTGCCTGCCATGTTGATAGGAATGCTGACACAAAAACCACAATTATCTAATCTGAGAGCACGCTTCACACTGCTTACTGAGTGACGTCCGGTAAGAAGTGGGCAATGGAATAGTGATGGTGCAAAGTTGTTTCCTGCTGCCTCTACGGTAACCCTGCAGAATGTGAGGAAGGGGCGAGGAGAATATTAGAATCAGAATCAGATGATGTAATCATGGAAGGTTGAAGAGGAGCCTGCGGATGAGAAAGGGGTGATCAGTTCACCCTTCCTGGTTGACCATTCATCTTCACAAATGAATGGTCCCTACACGTTTTTAAATCACCTGAATTTTCCTTTGGAGTTTGTTACTATCTTGTTTGTTTGTTACTATCTTCCATGGAGACAATGTTGGAAAAAGAGAATTGTACTCTGGAGATGGCCAGCTGAGAGGAAGTTGTAGGAAGTCTCAGACCATACGGTTCCTGCCTTTGTAACTTATCCCCACGATATCAAAATAAGCTCCAGTAGACAAGAGGGGAAGACTCAAGAGCAGTAGGTGCAGACTTAGAGCACTCCAAGCAGGCTTTGGAAGGCACAGCACATCAAATGATTCCTGCCCTCCCCAGAGGAGAAGGAGGAGACAAGTGGTGGTGATAGGTGTCTCCCAACTGAGGGGAACAGAGGCAGTAGTGAGTGTGCAAGGGAGAGGTGGGAACTGCTGTTGCTTCCTCTTGCCCTGGCGCAAAGCTTAAAAGTTAGAATATCCATTAGAGGCCGTGCTCAAGGTGAGCTCTGCTTCCCCTCCTGTTCCTCCTTTGCAGATGAAGCTTCCTTGGGGAAGGTGGCAGGCGAAGGGGTGGAAGTTAATCCCAGGGCTGGTCTGCAATACAGGGGTACAAGAAGTGCTGGGGGAAAATAATGACTTTAAAAAACCACCACAACCAATTCTAATAATTGTAGGTGAAATGCGCCATCATAAAATATTCATTTAGTTCAGGGTGGGAAGGGAAGCATATTTCAAAAACTATTAAATGGCAGGATTAATAGAGGACACCTGGCTCCTTTGGGTGTCCCCTGGACAAGCTGAGGGAATTTGGTGCTGTAGGTGGAAAAGCCAAATTAGGGGAGGCCAATGAGGCTGAAATCTCCGTGTTGGATTGCAGTATAGAGGATTTGAGCAGAGGCCTTGCTAATCTGGAGAAAGTGGGGGGGGGGACCACATACCTCTACTCTGAGGGATGGGGATGAATTGGGAACTGCCTTAGTTGATGTAAGAAAACAGGTTGTTAAAATGGTGGCATGAGAAAGGAAAAAGCCTGACATCAACTCCACAGTCTTTACACTCTGAGGCAAATGCCTGCAGTTCTCCAGGCACAATTGACCTGAGTTCACGTCCCGTTCTCCAGCACAGACCTTTTCAACTGGAAGTATCAAATGCCCAGTTTTTTCAGCTGACCCAGATCAAATGACCAGTCTAATGAAATCAATCATGTCCACCCAAAGCCCACTTGGGTAGACCGGAAGCTGTTGGTGGACCCTCTTTTGACTTGTGAAGAGTGGAGGCTGCAGCCAAGGGAGCCCCCCCCCCCCCAGATCAAGGGGACCCTCAAGCATAGACAGTAACTACTGTCCCCTCTCAGGACCTGGCTTGGAAAATAGATGGTGGGTGATGAGAGTCAGACTGCCTTACAGAAGGGGTAGGCAACCTAAGGCCCGTGGGCCAGATGCGGCCCAATCACCTTCTCAATCCGGCCCGTGGACAGTCTGGGAACCAGCGTGTTTTGACATGAGTAGAATGTGTCCTTTTACTCAAAATGCATCTCTGGGTTATTTGTGGGGCCTGCCTGGGTTTTTACATTAATAGAATGTGTGCTTTTATTTACAATGCATCTCTGGGTTATTTGTGGGGCATAGGAATCCGTTCATTATTTTTTTTTTCAAAATATTGTCTGGCCCACCACATGGTCTGAGGGACAGTGGACCGGCCCACGGCTGAAAAAGGTTGCTGACCCTGCACCACTTCCCCACCACGACCACCGAAGAACCAACAACTCAGGGGCTGCCCAGGGTCATGAAGAAAGGAGACAGAAGCCTCGGAGGAAGGGGAAAGATGGCAGTTGAGGTAAAGGTGACGGCTGACCCTCTGCAGCATCAATGTCCCGAACGTGTAGTATTTATTTATTTAAGGTGTCCCCGGATTCATTGGAAAAAACTTGGTAACCTTAACCTACAATTGTTAGAACTGGCTGTGGGGTTTTTAAAAAGTCATTTATTACCCCCCCACACACACATTGTGAGGAGCTCACAACGCCTCCCTTTCCTGCTAACATCAGGGACCGGCCTCTTGAGCAGGGAGGGAGAAGCCTGGCCTTAGAAACAGTTCCTCCCTAGGGTCATAGAGCAGGGGTCGGCAAGG